GAAAGGCAATTTATATGTATTATGTACTTTATGTACATAATTTTGTCTAAAAGTTTAATAAGTGCATCTCTTAAGTGCTGCTTAGCAACACAGAAACTCTGAAGACTGTATTTCTAGAAAATAAGTCCTAAGCATAATCATGTATAAATTAATTGTCAAGAAATCTTTAGAATGTTAATGCTATTAAGGATACATTGTTATATCTAAGAAATGATAAGACAATTTTAAGGTGCCTCCTTGAATTCATAAAGTTGATTTTTCTTAAAGTAATACATATTTTTGTTTTAGGAACTGGAACAGTACAAAAGAAATTCTTCCAAGTCTTGGAAACAAATCGAACTTGATTCTTGAACCTAATTCAATTATTGTGTCTTCTTTTCCAAATCCAAATAAGATTATATTATGAATTAACTATTGTGACAATATGTGAAGAAAGTTAAACTGTATAATTTGTTAAAGGACAAGCCGGGTTTCTTGAACTAGTGCATATCCTTGAAGCTTTTAAAAAGGAAAAAAATATTTCAGAACCATGTGTAATTTTTTTTTAAATAAAATAATCTTCTACTTACCTCTAACATGTTTAAGTGGTATATATTCAGTTCAGCATGTATAAGTTTCTGCTTATATGTTTTTAAGAATATAAAAGTGAGAGTATTTGCTGACAGTTTTACATGCAAGGTTTAGTGTCCATGTTAGACACATTCCTTCTAAAAGGCGCTCTCAGCTATAGCTGGGAGGAAACCGGAATTGGGTTCACAGATGTCAAAATTTTACTCTAACAGTGAGGTACAAAAAGCACCTGAAATAGGAGATGTGCATTCCTGCGTCCCCACACCTAGAAAGTCTCAATCAGTGGTCTGCAATGGGGCATTTTTAATCAGCACCCATTTCCTTCCTCTGTGAGACTGACACATTTGTTTTAAATATCACTTTTTGAAGAACAGGCACATTTAAGGAGATATCCTACCAAGAAGCAGGACAAAACATCATGCGTTGGGGATAACCAGGATTATTTCCAAGGTGGGATAGCCTTTAAGAAGCCATTCCAATCTGTAGTGTACCTGCTAACCAAGTTCATTTTAAGTAAGTATAATTGCTATGATTAAAAATTATTCTGTATTCCTCCATGTCCGCCTATAAAATATGTTGGCTCTAATATGCCATGCACATTTACTATAAATAGATAAGCACATTTACTACCCCAAGGGAATAGTGTCTGTGCAGATAGCAAGCCATCTTCTTATTGCAACGAACTAGGACTTATCAAGGGTTCTAAAACCCTTGAAAACAGAACTTTCAGCATGTTTCCAAGGAACCTCAGTTTTAAGCACAGGTTTCTTGCTGAGTGCTATGGGAAAAGAGATCCCTTTAAATTTACAGTGAACATTATGATCTCAGAAATATCACTGACTTGGTAGGAAGAAACAGCTTATTCCACAAGAGTAATAGGAATTGTTATTATATAATTTGATTTTCTTACACATCACTGTCCATTTTTGACTTGAGACACAAACTGTCACATATTGAAAGCCATTGTGTTTTTCGAAGATGGTATCACTAACATTTAATAGCTTAAAGTCACGTGGCATGTCGGTTTTCCAAATGTTTCTGAGCTAGAATGAAATTCATCTGCATATGAATAGTAGAAAATGTTTCCACTTATGTTGTACACCCATATCTTTAGTAAGTTGAAATCAGTGATTTCAAAAGAGGTTCCTGTGGGACTCTTTTTGAACTACTTTAATAGATTATCATCTCCAGAATTGTCTATAACTGATGTGACATATATAATCTGTAAGACATTGTGTAACTATTACACCATAATCATCTATGTCAAAGACCTTTTATAAAAATTGACAATACTAGTCTGATAATTTACCAATTCCTCCACATCCTTAAATACTGTTCTAAGAAAGAGAATTTTACTATGGTTTCCTTAATGAAATGATCTTTCCTACTTCAGTGTGTGACATTTAAATGCTATAATTTATCTTTCTTCACAAGTTAGGTCACAGTAAGTGAACAAGTTCATGTGCTCTCTACCATATTCTCACCCAAAGTTACCATAGTAACATGGAGACCGTCTCACTTTGGGTTCGTACATGAATTACTTGAAGATCAATCAGAATCAGTCATTTTAATACAGAATCCATTTTTAGTAACCTATTTGCATCATTTTATCCTTGAAAATATGTAATACAGCTGTCTGTATTTATACATATCAGCGCTCTTTACAGTTCAAGAATGTGAATTTCTAGTGTGTACCCTGTTCTTCTTGTAAATAGTATGTCAGCACTTTCTTTCTTTCTTTTTTAAAGACAAGGTCTCTGTCTGTCTCTGTTGCCCAGGCTGGAGCGCAGTGGTTCCATCACAGCTCACTGCAGCCCCTAACTCCTGGGTTTAAGCGATCCTCCCACATCAGCCTCCTGAGCCGCTGGGATTACAGACGTGAGACACCATATCTAGCGACATCAGCATTTTTTCTATATGGACTTTAACATCTGATCTCCAACCTTAAGAAGGTTATTTCTCAGTGCATACACTTAAACATTTACTTGTAATTCTGTAAGTAAACTCAGCTGAAAGTGGAAAATAGCAAACGAATCTTTAAAAACGTAACCAGAGGTTTGTCTGGTGTGTTTTGTTCACTGTTGAGCCCACTCCTACAGTTTTTAGTTTAATCCTCAGTAAAGTCACTGGGTGCTCTGTCGCACTGGTGCTCATTATCCATCTGCCCAGCGTTCTCTCGATGTGGTCAGGTAACTCCAACCCCTCGTGAGGACATGTGCATTTAACTCTGGGTTTTCCATGAACAGAAGCATTCTTACCCAATTCTGCATGATAACCTTGCTTCAGCTAAACCCACAACTTTTTTTCTGTCACTTACAGTCAGTAATTCTTCAAACCTTTTGTTTTTGTCTAATCCTTTATCAAATGTAAGCATATTTTTAAGCTGACCTATTTTTTCTGTGTCTAGAACAAGGGGAAAAATAGTCACACGAGTCTCCCATTGATTTATGAATGATTATTATTTACATTGTTGGGCCAGCTCAGTCACAAACTTCCAAATACCACATGTTCAGCAAGGGACTGAACAACTTCCACTGCATTCAGGGCCTGCGTGGATCCAAGAGGCACAAATGGAGTCTTAATGGTTAAAAGACTTAAGATGTCCTATCAAGAAAGAAATATATGGCACTCTCATTTCACACATTCAGAGCAGTCATGCATAGTCAGCAGCTTCACTTCCATTTTCCCAGCCACGGTTTTCACTACCTGCTAATGAGATGATCTCTTATTTTGAAAACAACTATTCCTAGGATGACAAGAGCTGGAATAAATGAATACAAAACCAGAAAGTTCACTGTGAATCTAGATGTTGCCCCTGGGCAGGTTTGCTCAATGAACTGAATTCCTTGAGTGAAGGCACACATTGGATTAGTTGTCACGGAAACATTTGCACTGCCTGCCAAAGAAAAGATTGACAGTGTCAGGTATGGTTTATCTCAGGTAATTTAATCAACAAGTATTTACCAAATACTTGCTAAGTACCCTCCTTAATGAAAAATACAGGACACTTTAGCGAGCCCAGAATTTACAATTTGATGAAGCAAGAGTTAGCAGTTCTGAGCTTTGGATTCATTTGAAGATGGACATGCTTTTGTTTCTGTTTGGGTATAGATTCATTACATATTCATGATAAAAATCATGATCACTTAGCAGGGGCTATTCTAAAGTTACTGACAATTATCACCTAAACTTATTTAAAACAGCTACTAAATTCAGCCGTATTCTTTGGTTGTCTGTGGAGTGGCCCTGAGTTTTTGTTTTTGTTTTTGGTTTTTTTTTTTGAGACACAGTTTCACTCTGCTGTCCAGGCTAGAGTACAGTGGCTCAATCTCAGCTCACTGCAACGTCCGCCTCCCAGGTTCAAGTGATTCTCGTGCTTCAACCTCCCAAGTAGCTGGTATTACAGGCATGCACCACCACGCCTGGCTCATTTTTGTATTTTTAGTAGAGACAGAGTTTTGCCATGTTGGCCAGGCTGGTCTCTAACTCCTGACCTCACATGATCCACCCACCCCGGCCTCCCAAAGTGCTGGGATTACAGGCATGAGCCACCGTGCCTGGCCACCCTGAGATTTCTAATAGCCATGAGGTCCTTGTCCTGGTCCTACTTCCATCTGGTGGGATTGAGGAATAGAGTTTTGTCAAAAGTGGCTTTACTTAGCAATGTACAATGTACATTTTGGGGAACAAAAAGTCACTTCGGCCTGCTTGAATGTGTTCAGTAGATGCTGGAACTGAGTCTATCCGGAAGATGGTAGTTTACCTTAGTGTACATAACAACATCAAAGTGGCCCTTACCTATTGACCTTTGATAGGAGACTAATTTGACCACTGCTTATTTTCTTTCACTTTAAAAATCAGAGGCCGGGTGTGGTGGCTTACCCCTATAATCCCAGCACTTTGGGAGGCTGAGGTGGGCTGATCACCTGAGGTCAGGAGTTCAGGACTAGCCTGGCTAACATGGCAAAACCCCGTTTCTACTAAAAGTACAAAAATTAGCCAGGCATGGTGGTGGGCACCTATAATCCCAGCTACTCAGGAGGCTGAGGCAGGGAAAACCACTTGAACCCAGGAGGCAGAGGTTGCAGTGAGCTGAGATTGTGCCATTATACTGTAGCCTGGGTGATGGAGTGAGACTCTGTCTCAAAAAAAAAAAAAAAAAATCAGAGAAAATGTTAGGCTGTATTTCAAAACAGAGTTTTAAATTGAATTATTATAAAACACAGCTTTTATTTCAAAAATACATTTCCTCTATGAAATTGCTACCTCAGAATAACATGTAAAAATAATATCCCCAAATCGAATACTTACCACAAGTGAAATTCAGTCCGTAGAACTCATTGACTACAAGAATCTCACTGCAATATTTTTGGAATGTAAAATAACTGATGATTTTAAAAGGAATGGGCATTTCTTGTATGTTTCTTAAGGAAAAGAAAACAAAAATGAAATTCAGTAGGCTCTGGCAATAGTCCCACCAAATGAAAAGAAAGGCAATCCTTATGTCATGTTTTCCAACATGAATATAGTTTTCTATGTCTTTATTATAAAAGTTATGCTCACTATAAAAAGAAACCTTCAAACAACATTGAAAAATATAAAGAAATACCATTGCCTATAAATAACTACTGTCAGCATTTTGGTTATATATATAATATTTTATATAAATGGAATTAAACTATAAAACTATAAACTATATATTAAATTATAAAGTTTTATATAAATAGAATTAAACTTTTTTTCAGAGGATGATTTGTTTATATTATATTGAACATGTTATCCCTTTGGGATAGAGCTACTACAGAATTTGGCATATACCCATTTGCGTTTTGAATTTATTATCCATTTTCATTTAAACATTGCATTATAAGTTCTTTGTATATATATATATGTATTTTATTGCACTTTAGGTTCTGGGGTACATGTGCAGAACATGCAGGATTGTTGCATAGGTACATACATGGCAATGTGGTTTGCTGCCTCCATCCCCCTGTCACCTATATCTGGCATTTCTCCCCATGTTATCCCTCCCCAGTCTCCCTGCCCCCGCTGTCCCTCCCCTATTCCCCCCCAACAGACCCCAGTGTGTGATGCTCCCCTCCCTGTGTCCATGTGTTCTCATCGTTCAACACCTGCCTATGAGTGAGAACATGCGATGTTTGATTTTCTGTTCTTGTGTCAGTTTGCTGAGAATGATGGTTTCCAGATTCATCCATGTCCCTACAAAGGACATGAACTCATGGTTTTTTTATGGCTGCATAGTATTCCATGGTGTATATAGAATTAAATTCTTCATGCTCTTTCCTAACCTACTCTTTTTCTGCCAAACATATGTCTCAGACATCCTTCCAAGTCAGTAAGCATAGCACTTTGTCATTTTTAGTCACAGTGCGGTGGCCTGTGATAGTGAAGACCTTGATTTAACAGTTCTCTCATGATCAATTACTGTCTACTTATTTTGGTAAGCACTATTGGCATAAACATACAAGAAAACACAGACCTAACACACACCAATTGGAGGAGGAGATTTGTGATTAAACAGACAGTTGAAGGTACCAGTGTAGGAAGTTAGAACTAACCTAGAATATAAAGGAAAAAGGAAGGAGAGACTGAGCCAACATTTATTGTGAAAATGAAATTTGTCTCCTCTCCAATCTATTTCAGGTGAGACTTTATGCTGACACTGTGATCTTCTTAGTCCACTATATATTTTCTGCAAATTAAAAGATATAAAATTTTGTTTGCAAGGTACCAGTTCTAGGAGCTTGAGAACTTCAAAAGACGTATCCTATCCCTAAGGAACTCATAATGTAGTTGGAGATACAGAATATATCCTTACAACTATAAAAATACACACACTATCACATGCTACCTCTTGTCACAGTCTTCCTTTGGAGTAATGAACTATTTGTGAAAATTTGTCTCAAATAGTAGCCTTGGCCTCCCAAAGTAAGACTATTTGTCTCAAATAATGGTGAACCATTTGTGCCAAGAAAGTATAAAAACATGTGTGCCATATATCCACGATATTCTTGTATTTAGTACTTATGATTTCACCTGTTTCCAAGTGGCCCCAAACTTTCAGTTATTGGCAATTTCCTAAGCACAAAATTAAATTAACCACATTGAGAGGTTGCTCATTGAAAAGGATACATTGGAATCTGGGAAGGAATTAGGGGAAGAGGAAGGAAATTCTAGGAAGGCAGAAATGGTATGAGTACAGGCATGTCAAGGGCTGCATATGGGACTGACTGGACAAGAAAGACTGCAGCAGAGGATGTGAAGTGTGAACAGTGGGAGGGGAGCTTGGAACAATAGCCAGAAACAGCCATGTAGGGGCTTGACATGAGTTGAGGATGAAAGACCATAAATGAGAACGGTCAGGCTGAAATCAGCATTCTGAGAAAATTAACCTGACTCCAGCAAGTAGGATGGCCAGAATGAGGACAGAGTAAGAACAGCAAAAATAAATCAATAAATAAAATAAAAAAGGAGCAGACTACAACAGAAGTTTAAGATGACAAAGGCCTGGAGTAGGATGATGGCCACAAGGGTGGCTGCCTGGTGGCTAGAGTGTATCTTTTTGAGGTAGGAACTGTGGCACCTTTGTTTCTCCCTGTACACAGAGTCAAACACAGAACGTTCCACATGCATCTACAGTTTGATATCAGAAAAGAAAACCAACATAATTTGGTGAGTGATGCAGTGTGTATACAGTTCAAAGACAGAGGACTCATTCACTTATTCACTCAATTCAACAAATAATGTTTGCAGGTGTAATCGGTCCACAGCCCACGGGGTGGCCGCTGAGAAGGTCTAAAATGATGAATAAGACACAGCTGCTGCCTTCAAGAGGCGGCTAATCTGTTACCATAAAGGAAGACTGTGACAGGAGGTAGCGTGTGATAGACTGAGAGAGAAAACAAAGGGGGCTTTCAGAGACAGTGCGTCTGTAACTTTGGGAACAACGACAGACTGTGCAGGTGACAGAGAAATGGATCAGTGGAAAGCACAGACAAAAGGAGAAGCAGCAGGAACCAGAGATCTAGGTGTATTGATACAACATTGTCCACATTATGTTGGTTTGTCCTTTTTTGTTGTTGTTGTTGTTGTTGGTTTTGAAACAGAGTCTCATTCTGCCACCTAGGCTAGAGTGCAGTGGTGTAATTTTCGCTCACTGCATCTCTGCCTCCCGGGTTCAGGTGATTCTCCTGCCTCAGCCTCCTGAGTAACTGAAATTACAGGCACGTGACACCACACCCAGCTAATTCATATTATGTTGTTAAATGGGGGAAAAAAGTATGCATATATGTTACACAACAGGATGATTTCATCTTTATTAAAACTTGTATAAAATTCTGCCAGGTACCGTGGCTCACACCTGTAAACCCAGCACTTTGGGAGGCCGAGGCAGGCGGATCACCTGAGGTCAGGAGTTTGAGACCTGCCTGACCAACATGGAGAAACCCCAACTCTACTGAAAATACAAAAGTAGCCGGGCATGGCGGTGTGCGCCCGCAATCCCAGCTACTCAGGAGGCTGAGGCAGGAGAATCACTTGAACCTGGGAGGCAGAGGTTGCGGTGAGCCGAGATCGCACCATTGCACTCCAGCCTGGGCAATGAGCGAAACTCCATTTCAAAAAAAAGGTATACAAAATTATAGCAAGGACTACAACAAAATTTGACTCTCGGCTCTGATACTTCAGGTAACTTTTACTTTCTTCCGCATATAGATTTATATTGTGTGCATTTCTTCCCCCGAGAATTTGCATGATTTTGTAAGCAGAAAGAATGGCAAAGCTAGTTTCCTTTGTGTTTGAAAGAGGAGGGAGCCACCAGCACAAATGCCGCAGGCAGTTCACTAGGAAGATGATGACTGGGGAGAAAAATGGGTAAATGAAATGACTAGCAGGTTGATGTGGCCTTTAAGAGTGGAGTTTTAATTCAGTGATGGGAGTGGAATCTGTGTGCAGCCTTGGGATGTTAAGATTTTGCAACTAATCTGAGAGTATTTGGTATTCTTGGTCACTGCCTACGTTTTAAGAGCAATTAACTGCCAGGCACAGTGGCTCATGCCCGTAATCCCAGCAGGGATTTGGGAGGCCAAGGCAGGGAAATCACTTGAAGTCAGGAGGTTGTGATCAGCCTGGTCAACAGGGCAAAACCTCATCTCTATTAAAAATTAAAAAATTAGCCAGGCATGGTGGTTCGCAACTGTAATCCCAGCTATTCAGGAGGCTGAGACAGGAGAATCACTTGAACCTGAATGGCGGAGGTTGCAGTGAGCTGAGATTGTGCCACTGCACTCCAGCCTGGGTGACAGAGTGAGAAGAAGCAAAAAAAAATAAATAAATAAAGAGCAATTAACTTCCTTTTCCTAAAAACCCAATACAAATGCTTCTTTTGATGGGGTTACTTCCAGATAAATCCATGATAAATTGAAAATATTCTAAGTTAAAAATGCATTTAATGCCGGGCGCAACGGCTTACACCTGTAATCCCAAAGCTTTGGGAGGCTGAGACGAGGGTATCACCTGAGGTCAGGAGTTTGAGACCAACCTGGCCAATATAGTGAAATCCCATCTCTACTAAAAATACAAAAATTAGCCAGGCGTGATGCTGGGTGCCTGTGATGCCCGCTACTCAGAAGGCTGAGGCAGGAAAATTACTTGAACTTGGGAGGCAGAGGTTGCAGTGAGCTGAGATGGTGCCACTGCACTCCAGCCTGGGTGACTGTGTGAAATTCCGTCTCAATAACAAACAAACTAACTAAAAAATGCATTTAAGACACCTAGCCTACCAAACATTACAGCTTAGCCTTAACCTTAAATATGCTCAGAACACTTAACGTTAACCTACAGTTGCGAAAAATCATCTAACACAAAGCCTGTTTTACAATAAATTTGTGAATATTTAATGCAGTTTATTAATCCTGTTCTGAACATACAGAATGATTGTATGGCTACTCAAAATATGATTTCTAGGCCGGGTGCAGTGGCTCATGCCTGTAATCCCAGCACTTTGGGAGACCAAGATGGGCGAATCACTTGAGGTCAGAAGTTCAAGACTAGCCTGGCCAACATGGCAAAACCCCGTCTCTACTAAAAATACAAAATTATCTGGGCATGGTGGTACACACCTATAGTCCCAGCTATTCAGGAGACTGAGGCACAAGATTTGCTTGAACCTGGGAAGCAGAGGTTGCAGTGAGCTGAGACTGAGCCACTGCACTTCAGCCTGGGCAACAGAGTGAGACTGTCTCAAAAACACAAAAACAAAATACGGTTTCTACAGAACAGGTATCACTTTCTCAAAAAATCATAAGTCGGGGATCATCTGTGCATGAAACGGCACCAGATTAACTGAAACTGTGATTCTAATAACAACAGAGGAGATGCTGCCTGAGGTTGGGTCTGTACATTGCTGGCCTGATTCTGTACTCTTGGTGTGATTTGATTTCTGCACTTCTCATAAATGTTAATAATCCACTTAAGCAACATGGACAAATACAATATAATGGTCTTAGTATGAAAAATATCCTCCTTGATTGATCAAAGCTTAGTTCACTTTGCTTTATAATCTCACCTTCATATAACTCGCTACAGTTTATAATGTGTTTCCATATTGATTATTTCCTTTGCTTCTCGTGATCTCTTGAGGTAGGTGGGGCTGAAATCGTGATCTCTTTTTTATAAATGAGGAAACTAATTTAGATAGAAAAGCAACTGTGGGGCCGGGCACGGTGGCTCAAACCTGTAATCCCAGCACTTTGGGAGGCCAAGGCGGGTGGATCACGAGGTCAAGAGATCGAGACCATCCTGGTCAACATGGTGAAACCCCGTCTCTACTAAAAATACAAAAAATTAGCTGGGCACGGAGGCACGTGCCTGTAATCCCAGCTACTCGGGAGGCTGAGGCAGGAGAATTGCCTGAACCCAGGAGGCAGAGGTTGCGGTGAGCTGAGATGGCGCCATTGCACTCCAGCCTGGGTAACAAGAGCAAACTCCGTCTCAAAAAAAAAAAAAAGCAACTGTGACAAGTGGTAGAGGAAGTTTCTGACTCATAAGTCAGCCTCTCTCCAGGAAGTCACATGCGTCACAGCTTTCATAGTGGTGTGACTTGAGCAAAGTCAAGTCTGAGCTTCATTTTCTTATCTGAAAATGGATTGCTCTGAGAGTTAAATAATTAAACACACATATAATTTTATATAGTAGATATAAATGTTTATGTCTACTCAGTAATGTTTTTGCTTTTTGATTGGATTTTAAAATTTTTAAGTCAAGTCCGGATACAGTGGCTCACACCTATAATCCCAGCACTTTGGGAGGCCAAGGCGGGCAGATCATGAGGTCAGGAGTTTCAGACCAGCCTAACCAATATGGTGAAACCCCGTCTCTACTAAAAATACAAAAATTAGCTGAATGTGATGGTGCATGCCTATAATCCCAGCTACTCGGGAGGCTGACGCAGAAGAATCACTTGAACCCGGGAGGTGGAGGTTGCAGTGAGCCGAGATCACGCCACTGCACTCCAGCCTGGGTAACAGCGAGACTCCATCTACCAAAAAAAAAGTCAAAGAAACAGCCTTCATGTTTCCTTGGGGACCCATAGATTAATTACTAGATCCCGCTCACATCACCTGCTGGGATCATTTTTACCCTTTTAAAATTTTCTGCCCTTTTTGCTGCTGCTTTTTAAAAATGTGGGCAGATATATTTTTTCCTGGTTGTAAAATGATATTTGTCCATTATAGAGTTTTTATAAAATACAGAAATATGAAGAAAAAAATTAAAATCAATATCACCCAGAGATAATTCCTGCTATCATCTGGCTCATGTCCTTTAAGCCTTAATACTCTTTGGAACAGTCTTTTATCCTGCAGGCTCTTTTTTTTTAATCTGACTAGTCTTAATTCCTAAGAATAACTGGGAATTGAGAACTACAGTACCCACTCAACGGTATCAGGTCAGAAATGGACTAATGCATGCAAGTTATTTAGCCTGTCACGTGGGCTGTGGGTTTTTCCTGGAGGATCCAGACTGCTTGTCTTCTCTTGGTATAATGGCTTATTACATGTGAATCATATCATAACATAAACTTGTCAGTTCCTGATTCTTAATAAAAAAGACATTTTCTAGAACAAATGAACAGTTCAAGGTCTCAGGCAATCATGATTAACAAGCAGTATGAATGTTCCAGACTATAAGGTAATATCTGGGATCACTATCACAGATTATCCTCTGGAATTCCTTTACAACAGGCACTATTAGGTGATCATTAATAACAGATTATCCCAACCTAAATTTTGGAATTGTGATCTCTTACCTGAGGAATCCAGATCCAATAAGCACCCCCGCAATGGACAGCAGAGCCACTACACTGTTGACTATATTTGGGTTTTGGATGATACCAAGTAGCACAAGAGTTAGAAATTCACCAATTAAGTGGGGGGCCAAGAGAGCAGCAGAGAAATATCCGTATCTGGCAACCTCAGGATATAAGCCCAGCGTCCTAGAAAAGCATAAGCTCTTTAGTTTCTTCTCCAAGGGCTATCATTTAAGAAAAATACTGCACTTGCCTCTATGAAGAAATCCTTGGTGGTGAGTGGGTGGTGGGAGTTTGCAGAGCAATCCACACTCCCCTTTGAAAGGCCTCTTTGGAAAGGAGCCAACATTTGAGACTATTTATTACATCAAATTGTTCCCATTGGCTGCAACTCAATGGGAGGCACCTTTTCCCTTTCACAGCTCCTTCAGCTCTCATAGGAAAACATTAAATTACTTAGACAAGGGTCACAACTCACTGCAGTAAGCAGGCTTGTTGAACTCTACAGGCTTCTTCATAAATAACCATATTCTGCCTAGCTAGCACCACACCTACCTTCATGTTAAGGGCTCACCCAGCCCGCTTCAGCCCCTCCTTCCCTGAACCTCATCTCTGTCATGTGGGATTCTTGCCCATGTGAAAACCCCTCACTTCTTTTGTCCTCAATCAGGTTAGCCCCCGCCAGGCCGACTCCATTCCATTCTTGTCTTTTATTCTACCAACCTCGTCCATTGACTTGACCTTCGTTTTCTTTTTTGAAACAGAGTTGCGCTCTGTCGCCCAGGCTGGAGTGCAGTGGTGTGATCTTGGCTCACTACAACCTCTGCCTCCTGGGTTCCAGTTATTATCCTGCCCTAGCCTCCCAAGTAGCTGGGATTACAGGTGCCTGTCACCACACCCGGCTAATTTTTTTTCTATTTAGTGGAGATGGGGTTTCGCCATGTTGGCCAAGTTGGTCTCGAACTCCTGGCCTCAAGTGGTTTACCCAACTCAGCTTTCCAAAGTGCTAGGATTACAGGTGTGAGCCACTGTACCTGGCCTGACCTTCATTTTCTTATAAACGAACCACCCTATATCCATGCACCTTTCCTCTTATATTCCTTTCTCCAAATTATATTTCCCTGGTGATAGCATGTCTTCAATGATCATTAGGCATGGCGGCTCTTTATCCCGTTTGTAGAGGGAGCAAAAAATGCTGGCATGTCTTATACTCACCCCTCCTTAACATTTACTCTTCAGGCCATCTACTTTTCCTCTGTACAAATCATAAGGTTTGCTTATGCTATCAATGCCATTCCTCATTGTGGTCTTCTGTGATGTTTAAAACATTCTCTCACCTTTGATGATTTTATAGCATCTGGACCAGGATCATTTTTTCTACTCCTCTCCACTATCATTTTCCTCAAGCCCTTTAACCCTCTTGATGAGCCATCCACATCAGTGGATCCTAATTAACTAATCTCCTCAATTCCAGTGGCTCCATCTACTTAATCTTGATGACTCACCATGTTTTGGACTTAAATATTACTCAAAAGGGTTCCACTCCCAGGATTTCAGAGTCTGAGGACACCCTCTCTGATCACGGCCTCCTGCCTCTCACTTCCCCAGTGCCCTCACTGCTGCAGATGCTTGGTCCCTTCTGCCATTCTTTGCCTTATCAATTCTCACATCTGGGGACCCTACTCTCTCTTAAGCAATGGAAGGTGTGGGGGGCAAGACATATTGCCACACTAACTGGGTCCCCTCTGCCACTTTGCTTCAGCTGACTTCTGGGCCCCTAAAATTTCTTCAGTGTGTATTGAGTTCTAATAGGATATTCCGTTATGACTGATACAAACTCTTACTTTAAAATTTTCCCCTCCCAATTTCATTCTCTCTCCCCAGTGCTCACCAGCTGAATTCACCTCCTATTTTATTAATTTCTTGCTATCTTCATCATCTCTATTTTTCATTCTCTCTCTCACTCCGTCTTCCTATACACCATCTTTGAAAGCATGACCCTAGCTGCTTGCATCCTCGATCCCATGTTATTTGGATTCCCTTATCCCTACCTTGGTCTACTCTGGAAACTTCCTCTTTGACTTATCCAAATTTTGGCTGCATTTTCATCTACTCTCAATCTAATGTGTTTTGATGGTCTTATTTACCACATCCTGAAACAACCGTAGTTTGAACCTGATGGTCATTTAAGCAACTGCCCCTCTTCATCCTACCCTGTAACACCAAGCTTCTCAAAACAGTATCTGCTTCCTCCATCTCACACCTTACCCTCTTGTAAATCTGACATGCACCCCCACAACTCTACTGAAGCTCTGTTTTGGAAGATTGCAATGGCCTCCTCCCCTTATGCCTCACCTCCTTTAACCCCTGCACTACTGAAGTGTTCATGACACTTTCTTGAAACTCCTTCCTCATCCTCTCTGACGCAGCCCAATCCTGCTTCTCTTTCTACCTCCCTGATCACCCTCTGCCTCCTCTGTTGGCTTGCTGTCCTCTTCCTACCCTCTGAACGTGTCTGTTTTAAGGTTTTACACTCAGGCTGCTTTCTCCCTGCCCCCGGGACCCACGTGCACCTGAATCACAGCTACTTCAGAGCCCTCTTCTCTGGCCCAGGCCCTGCCGTGAATGTGGGACAGGCCATTCCCTGGCAGGTATCGTCTTGGTGGTTTGTTCTCAGGTCCCCTGCAGCCCACAATTGGGCTATTTACAATAAAATTAATGTCCTGGAAGATCGGACATTGCACTAGACACTGATGGGCAACGTGTAGATCCTTCAGAGCAGAGAACTCCACCCTGGAGATCTCCCTGCACAAGTCCCACTGGCTCCATGACTCCATGGGAGCCTGGCCCTAGGTGAAATGAACAACCCCTCACCAGTAGCACACACTGCTGAAAATCATGGTGGCAACAACGCTGAAGGGGAGGACATGCAGCACGTAGGCCAGCAGCATCTGCCACTTCTGGTAGAGGCCATCTTGACTCTCCTGGTCGCTGACAGCTCGCAGCACAGGAACTGGGGATGGAAGGTGGGTTACAGAACAGTCAGTCACCACCCGGCTGAGAGAAGGAGGGCTAGCTCAAGCTGAACATGAGGTCTGTCAGGGCTGCATGGGGTGAAAACCAGCTGGCAGGGGGTTCCTGCCATCCACAGGACAATAAATCCCCACCCCAGAAATCTACACTCTACCTGAATTGCAATACAGTTGCAAAAGATGTAATTTATTTCCTTCTCTCTAAAGCGGGGAGTTGTCACCAATTCAATAAAAGTACTTGCAAAGGGGGCAGGAATCAGTGATTTGAAGCACTTTGTCTCCTTTCTGTGCAGGACTCCCCCTGCCCCGTCCCACCCTGCCATCTGCAGCCTGCATTTTACACTTGCTCTCAGAAGGCCATGCAACCCCGGTAAATGCAGACACTGAGCCTTGCCTCTCGGGTCAAGCTCTAGGGCAACTTCACAGCAGCAGAGTCCTCTCCTCTTATCCCCTCACAGTGTTGCCTTTGGGGAATCCCTCTAACATCCACTTCCTGCAACATTAGGGAACCAGGTATTGTCTCTGGAATTCCACTGAGTTGGAAAATGAGGTGCTGGCTGTCCTACAATCGGCTCCAAAAAGAAGCTAATGGTGCAAAGGTGGCCTAGTCCCTGAGCTCCCTGGGCTATGCATCCAAGATGGCCAAGATGAGATAGGAGGAATGATCTTTTGAAAAGCTCCTCAAACCCTCCCCACCAGCACATCAGTACTTCCTGTTTCCCTGGATCCTTAGCCCCCAGAGAGATCCACCTGGTGAGCTCATTCATATTAACATGTTGGTAACTCAATAGTTACCCTTTCCCAGAGAGGGAATCCGGAGTGCCAGGTTTAGCTCAGAGAAATATCCTTACGATGGTGGACTTTTATAAGGTGACAGCTGGAGAAGGGAGGTGTTTAGGGAGAAAGGTGCACCTCCAGCACGTGGACACTTACACAGATTCACAGCGTTGAGCATGCCTGTGTACGGGGTGGCACCCACAAACTGGTACAGGATACCCACGCGGTCCTGAATAGCACCCTTTAGCACATTGTTCTGGACCCGTAGAACGAAGAAAAGGAGGAACAAACCCATGATCAGATTCTGAAGGAGACGCATCATCACGGCCAGCTTATTTCTCACCAAGTTTCTTGTCACTCTCCTGAAAACAAACAACCCTGCTGTAATTCCTTTCAGAACTGTTACTGGGGGATGGCTAAAGTCCTCCAATGGGCATTGCTCACATGTGCGAGCCTCTCACCTCAAGAGAACATCCAGTTTAGAGAAAACTCCAGGAGAATCCTTGGTTTTGAAAGGAACCATTGGTAATGTTTTCAGGTGTTTCGTTCTTTCGATATTCTCCAAAGTTTTATGACAAATTGCTGATTTCTTGTAGGCAGATTCTATCATCTGGACTCTCTTATAGGTTTCTATTTCCCGTTCCTTGCTTTGGGTATCCACTGACGTCAGGTCCGCTAAAAGTTTTTCCCAAAAGATGTCACCCAAGTGTTTTTAAATGCATGTATGTACATGGATATACGTTTGGTACAGGAGTACTGGCCATAATACCTCATTCCATCAAGATAAAATTTGTGGTTAATGCCCACCTATAAAATCGGAATACTTTAAAGCATCCCAGCTGGGCCTTGAGGATCCCACTGGGATTGTCTGGGAGAATTTGGAAGCTCAGCTAATGATTCTCTGATAAAGTAGTAGCAGGGCGCCAGTTTGAGAGAGCTCCCCAACCTCATTCTGATAGTCATCTCTGGCAAGTTAATTGACTGGGCCAAATAAATTCCTTGAAGAGTATAAAACACAAAAACAAAAGCAACAGTCAAACCCACTAGTGTTGGTGTCATCCAGGTAGGAATCTGAGATTAGAAAGTTAAAAAACATTCACGATGGGGAATGTGAAAGAAAAACTTACTATAGAAGTCAAAAGGGTTTGAATGTTCAGGACAAGGGTAACCGCAGTCATTGAAGAAATCAAGCATTTCCACTGGTGTGCCACAGAAAACCAGCTCTCCGAAGCTCAGGATGGCAATTTTGTCAAAGAGCTGATCAGACAACAGATGTTGTTAGTGTGTGATCACAAGGGCAGCCAGGTACTTTGAATGTCTCCAAGAATACTGATGCAGGGCCAAGGTCAAGTATCCCTTATGGTCACCATCTCTTTATGGGAAATACACTTCCCAGCAGTCAGTCCTTCAACGACCTTGACCCTGCATCAGTATCCCTGGAGACACTCAAAGTGCATCGCTACCCTTGTGAGCCTAGGCTAGCACTGCGGGTTATGCTGCCTCCATCCTGAGGCCCAGCATCATATCTGGGATAAACAAGCATGACTAGACCTGGGTTAAGTCCCAGCCACACCATGTGCGTGACCTCTGGTGAGCCGGGGTGGGTCTTAGTTTGTTTCTTTATTTTTATTTTAAATCTCAGCTTCTACTCTATAAAAAGCAAATAATAGCTAACTAAAGGGATACTGGGTGGAGGAAGTGAGATTTTTTGGAAGGAAATCTGTAAGATTTAGTGGAAAAACACAGCCTTCGAAGCCAATGTGGCTGTGAAACCCTAATGCTAGCTTTTTACTATTAATAACTGTGTGATCTTGGCTCAATTTTTTTTTTTTTGAGATGAAATCTCACTCTGTCACCCAGCTTAGAGTACAGTGGCACAATCCCAGCTCACTGCAATGTCCTGGGTTCAAGTGATTCTTCTGCCTCAGCCTCTTGCACAGCTGGGTTTACAGGAACATGCCACCATGCCTGGCTATCACTTTGGAATCATTGCTAAGTTTCACTCTTTTCCTCTGTAAGGTGAATATACTGCAACACGCCTCATAGGAGTGTTGTGCAGATGAAATGAGCTACGTACAGAAAATATTTGGAACATGGTAGGTGCTGAAAGAACTGGGTTTTCATCCTTTGCTCTTCCTCTCTCAGGTGCTGTTGGCTCCAGTTGCTCTAGCACTAATCTTTTTTTTTTTTTCTGAGACAAGGTCTTGCTCTGTCACCCAGGCTAGAATGCAGTGGCATGATCATGACTTTCTGCAGCCTTGACCTACTGGGCTCAAGCGATCCTGTCACCTCAGCCTCCCAAGTGGCTGGGACCACAGCTGTGTACCACCATGCCTCACTAATTTTTCTTTCCTTTCTTTTTTTTCTTTCTTTTTTTTTTTTTTTTAGAGATGGAGGGTCTCACTTTATTGCCCAGGCTGGTCTCAAACTCGTGGCCTCAAGTGATCCTCTTGCCTCCGACTCCCAAAGTGCTGGAATTACAAGTGCGAGCCATGGTGCCTGGCCACTGTACAAATCTTGCCCCTGCCCCTGCCCCTGCCCCTGCCCCTGCCCCTGCGATTCCCAGCTCAACACACCATAGACCCAGCCTTTACAAGTTGAACCCCTTACCTGAAAAAGCTCAGAACGGGGCTGGTGAATGGTAAGGACCACAATTCGGTTCCTGCGAGCCAGTTCCACCAGGAGGACGACAATCTGATTAGCCGTCATGCAGTCTAGGCCTGTGGTCGGCTCATCAAACAGCATGACCTCTGCCAGCAAAGACAGGCCAGACTTCTGAGGCACTGCAGAGCCCCGGCTCTGTGCTTCAAACTCAGAATTCTCAACTGTCCCTTATTGAATTTGCACCCCATCCAAACAGTGTGCAGTGGGAAGTAAACATGGAAACTGGCTTTCAGCCTGAGCTCAGGAGAAAGGACCTGACCTGGAAGGGTCTAATTTCCAGCTCTGGAGCACGTGTGGGGCTCAAACCCTCCAGGGGACAGGGAGTAAGCACGTGTGGGGCTCAAACCCTCCAGGGGACAGGCCTCTCATAGGGTACTAGGCTCTGCCCAGGGCACCCTGCCAGGAAACAAAGGCTGGCAGGCTGACATCAAGTTGTTTTGAAACAAGACTGAGTGGAGGCTGGTCAAAAAGACATAACCTCATTTCATGTTTGTAACACTTTCCAACACCAGCAGGGTCTTTGCATAGAGAAAAAAAAAAAAATCTGACCAATAAAACAAGGTCTGAAGTGTGGCAGGGATTTGGGTTCTTTAGAGGGTTTAAAGTAACTTATTTCTACCTAAAAAGTGACAAGGGGGCTGGGTGTGGTGGCTCATGCCTGTAATCCCAGCACTTTGAGAGGCCAAGGCAGGCAGATCACTTGAGGTCAGGACTTCAAGACCAGCCTGGCCAACATGGTGAAACCTCATCTCTACTAAAAGTACAAAGGTTAGCTGGGCGTGGTGGCAGGTGCCTGTAATACCAGCTACTCAGGAGGCTAAGGCAGGAGAATCACTTGAACCAGGAGGCAGAGGTTGCAGTGAGCCGAGATCATGCCACTGCACTCCAGCCTGGGTGACAAGAACGAGACTCCGTCTCAAACAGAAAAAAAAAAAAAAAGTGACAAGGGCTCTTAAAAACATCTCTATCTGCCTTCTAGTGACAAACCACCATCTGAAAAACAGGCAGCCCTGGTCTGCCACAGTGCAAAGAAAGGATCTAGATGCAGTCTGCCCTCTCCAGCTGCATATGAGTGGCGAGGGTTCCCCAGGCGATAGGGAAAATGACCAAACCAGGCAGAGGATCGACTACTCTGTTTTGACACTCCCTCATCCACAACATAAACACTTTTGAGTGTATCATTCAAATTCCTATTTCAATTCCTGCCATTTCATGAACACCTGTGGTCATACCAAAACTCACTGGCTTTCCCCAGCCCACACAGTGGTATTGCCCTAGTAAGAAGAAACAATTGGCTGGCCAAGGCTCTGTATTCATGGAAGACTCTGGTGGAACACTGCAACACCAACGCAATGCTTCTGAGTCCAAGAGCTATTTTGTTTGGATGATGGAATCACATCGGGAAATGAGCTATACAGCATTTCCAAAAAAAAACGGGCCCCTAGTTTGAAAAACTGTGATTTCAGTTGCACACAACCCCCTTTCCAAATAAGGACTGTGAAGAAAGGGCCCAAAGTATCTGCAGACACACAGAAGATGCCCAGACAGCAGCTAGTAGCAGTTCTGGGTGTCACTTACTAGGATCCTGGAGCAACTGGGCTGCAATGGAGACCCGACGCCTCTCACCAATGGAAATGCCACCCAAATTGTAGTTGCCAATCAGTCGGTCTGCCACATGGCTCAGACTCAGCTCTGCCATGACAGCCTCCACCTGCAAGAGACACAAATTACAGGAAGGCTGGGAGTGACTCCAGCTGTTTTTTCAACACCCGCCCCCTGCAAGAATGCAAGGGCCACTTCCAGACTCACCACACCCTGGGGAAAGCACATCTTTTATAATAATATGATCCAATTTGGCTTAAATCATACGATATGTCTCAGATCAAAAAACAATATGAATTTTTTAAAACATCCCCAGAGGCTGGGTGCTATGGCTCATGCCTGTAATACCAACACTTTGGAAGGCTTAGGAAAAGGGACTGCTTGAGGCCAGGAGTTTGAGACTAGTTTGGGCAAAAAAGAGAGACCCTGTCTCTATAAAAAAAAGAAAAGAAATTAGTTGGGTGTGCTGGCATGTGCCTGTAGTCCCAGCCACTCGGGATGCTTAGACAGGAGGATCGCTTGATCCCAGGAGGTCGAGACCTCAGTTAGCCGTGATGGTACCACTGCACTCCAGCCTAGGCAACAGAGCAAGATCCTTCCTCAAAAATAAAAAAGTGGGCTGGGCATGGTGGCTTACGCCTGCAATGCCAGCACTTTGGGAGGTCGGGGTGGGTGAATCACTTGAGGTCAGGAGTTCAAGACTAGCCTGGCCAACATGGTGAAACCCTGTCTGTACGAAAAATACAGAAATTAACTGGGTGCGATGGCGGGTACTCGTATCCCAGCTACTCAGGAGGCTGAGGCAGGAAAACTGCTTGTACCCAGGAGACAGGTTGCAGTGAGCCGAGATTGTGCCACAGCACTCCAGCCTAGGTGACAGAGCAAGACTCTGTCTCTAAATAAATAAATAAATAAGATTCCCTAGAACAAAAACTGCTTATACTTGCTTCAGGAAAATTAACCAGGAAACAACAGATATGTCCTTAAATTCCCATTTGCAGGAGCCTCAGTCACTCCAGCCCATACAGAAAAATCCCCCAAAGTTATGATTACAATATCGCTTGCTTTTATGTGTTTGGGTTTTGAAACTGTATTATATGTTTAAAAAAATCCAACTTGATTTGAACTCAATCTGTTTCCTACTATATAACCCAGGTAAGTGCCAGGGTCCTGTGTGGTGCAATCTCAGTGTGGTTTTGCATCAGAGACATATAATCCGGCCTTCAAAAGTAATTAAAAATAATTCCAATCTTTTCTTGAATTTCTTTAAGGACTTTAAGAGGGACCCAATTTATAAGCCACAGCCACACTTAAAATTCCCTTTTCTCCAATTCTCTTCGCTCTACTTAAACCCTGCAGCTCCCCGAAACCCTTCTTCCTCCTCATTCTCAACTCCCCCAGAACAATAACTAAAAAACATTCTTTACTGACTTTCTAATCAAGAAGCTTGCCTTTCTTCCTCCCTCTCTGTCTTTCCTTCCTCAGCTTATCTCCTCTCCAGAGACCTGTTCACAAATCCGTTTCTGTCCTCCCGTACTGATTACCTCCATCTGCAGAAAGCCCGGGGGAAAGCAGGAAGAAACAGAAGATACTCATATGGTAATGAGTTTTGTTTCCAGACGTCCCTAATAAGGCTGTGTTATGAAAATGGAAACAAAACCATTCCATTACAAAAAAATAAGCTCCACTGCAGAAGTGAGGATGACTTGTGGACCACAATTCCAGAGGAGTCAGGGGAAGGAGTGGACGGCAGAGATGAAGTTTTGACCCACCCAAATAATGGACATATCCGAAATAGGTACAAAGGAATAATGAGAAGGTAAAAATGCATAAGTAAACAAGCATGATAGATTCTGGGAAAAAAAAAAAAGAAAAAGAAATGTCTTTTCTTGCCCTCAGGGTAGAAAGATCCTAGAATTAAACTTTGCTTGACGCAGTGAGATTTCTGCGCTCACCAGCCAGAGTAGATTCCCGAGCCTCCTTCTCATCTTTGTAACATCATAAGGAGTAAGCCTGCCCCTCCTGGTTTAGAAGGGATGGACGGGGAAGACATTTACTTAATTTGTCTCAGAGGTTTCACACCCCAGCAGGAATGCTCTCCCATATTTTGGAAACACTATTGGAAATGGAACTCAGAGTCCTTGTAAGGACCATTGGGATAATCAAGTCCCACCCTCCATGCTCTGTGCTTTCACATATTCTGATGTATTCCTCACATTGACCCCAGGAGAAATGCATTCTTATTGTATTTTTTATAGAGGAAAAAACAGAGAATGATCTATAACTTGCCCAAGATCATGCCATTAGCAAATGGCAGGGCCAGGATTGAGAGGACTGTCTGTGCTCTCTCAGTTGGTCCAGGAAGCCTGAGCCTTAGCCAACAGCCCCCCAGACACAGCCTGCTCACATTGGCCATGCTTTATTTCCAGGTTCTTCCAAGGACAGGAGCAGATCTGCCATGCTCTCTCCTTTGTTGTCATCAGCACTTCCTTCCCACTGAATTGCTTGTCAGGATTTTACACCCTGTGGGCTGGATTTGCTCAGAAAGGACTCTCAATTGGAGAGAACTCTGCTGTCAGGAGTTCTCCTGCTTACACAGAACTGTGCCCCTTGAAGGAGGCATGTCCATCTGTCATTGGTTCCCTGGGTGCTCGTGGGCCTTCCCAGACTAGAGAGAAATGAAGCAGTTTCCAGGTATGGTCCCGGGTCATTTTACCTGTGGCTACTTCCAAACTGGATACATTTAAGAAAGAGATTGGAACCTAGAAGGAGCTGACAATTCAATCGTTTCTTCCTTCATTAACTCAGTCCAGTTTGGATGAGGCACATTCAAGATGCCTCCAAGTAAGCTGAGAAAAAATCAGTGGCAAAAATATCTATGCAAACAGGGAACTTGTAGAACAGCATGGTCCCAGAGAATGGTAATGCAAGCCACAGACAGAAGTGAAATATTTTAATAGCCATATTTTAAAAAGTAAAAAGAAACAGGTGAAATTAACATGATATTATTTACAGACAAAATACCGTTTCAACCTGTAATCAATACTTTTTAATTTTTATTTATTTATATATTTATTGATTTGGTTGGGGGATACAGGCTGTCCTTCAGGCTGGAGAGCAATGGTTTGCTCCAGCCTCCACCTACTGGGTTCAAGAGATCCTCCTGTCTCAGCCTCCTGAGCAGCTGGGACTGCAGGTGCACGCTACCACACCTGACTAATTTTTGTATTTTCTGTAGAAGGTAAAAGTCTCACTGTGTTGCCCAGGTTGGTCTCAAACTTCTAGACTCAAGCAATCCTCCGGTCTTGGCCTCCCAAAGTGCTAGGATTAAAGGCCTGAGCCACCCTGCCCAACCTAAAAATTCTTAATGGGCGTTTTCACATTCTGTTTTTTCAGACTCAGAGCCTAAAATCTGATATGTGTTTTACACTCAGAGCACATGTCAGTCTTTGGACTAGTCACATTTCAAGTGCTCCAAAGGCACATGAGACAAGGAGCTGCTCTCTCTGGCAGCGCAGGGTGCACGGTGCAGGATGCAGGGCACGCTCTAGAGTGAAGGGGTGACGAGCAAAGGGGAGGAATGGGTAAGCGTAGGCAAAGAGAGGAGGGCGGGATGCAAAGGCACTCGGCTTGCCTGCTGTAAGCAGAGGGCTGCACCCACCTTCTTCTGGAAGAAGCTGGGGCTGCCGCAGCGGATGGCCAGCAGCGCTGTGTAGCGCAGCGTCTCGCGCACGGTGAGGCTGCTCAGCAGGGTGTCGCTCTGCAGGAGACGCGGGCGTCAGCGTCGCCCAAGCCCCGGGGGCGGGCAGGGGGCCAGGAGTGTGGGAGACTCGCCCACCTGCAGGACGTAGGAGAAGCAGTCCTGGAACTGGTCCCGGTGCAGCTCCTGGCCGTTCACATACACCTCCCCCAGGAAGGACCCCGTGCGCCGCAGCCTCCCGGACATGGCGTCCAGCAGCGTGGTTTTCCCGGAGCCTGCGGGGGCGACAACAGAACCCCTCCGTGCTGGCCTTGGAGGAGCTTCCCGAGACTCTCTGTGCGGGCCTGACCCCGCGGGCCAGGAGTGCTACGTGATGGACCCTGTTCTAGGGATTAAGGATACTGCAGAATACAGGCCCTGCCCTGCAAAGCGTGCAGCCACTGTGCATGTCGCAGTCTCGTGGGTCAAACTCTTAGGGCGCAATCGAGTCTCTGGATTGTCCCCTGAGTGAGAGGGGACACACCATTTTTCTTATCTGGGTCAAGACCAAAGGTGCTTTCTCTGCTTGTTTATTTGCCTTTAAAACTGTTTTGGATTGAAAAACGAAACAACTATAGGTATCAGAATAAGAGCAAAGCCAAGACTCTTGGAAACGCTTGGATCCTAGAATGTCTGGATTTCTTTTTGTGTCCCGCAGGGGTGGTCTAGTTATACCTGGATGTAGGTGACATTGCCTAGAGCCTTGCTCACAAAGCAAGCAGCATCAGCAGCCCCTGAGAGCTTGCCAGAAATGCAGAGCCCCAGGCCTCACCCTGACCTGCTGAGTCAGGTCTGCTTCAGTCGAGTTTGAGAAGCACTGGCTTGGTGAGTCCTTTGGTAAAACCAAGTTGGCCACAGCCTGCACCAGAGCCTGGGGCACAGCCTTGCTGGATGTCACTAGGAAGGTTCCCACAGAGGGGCTGTGGTGAACTAACTGCCTGCTGGAGGTGACTGGGGTATGATACTTCCCTTGTTTCTTTTTCTTTTTTCCTTTCTGTTTTTTTGAGACTGAGTCTTGCTCTGTCACCCAGGCTGAGGTGCAGCAGCAGTATTGGCTCACTGTAATCCCTGCCTCCTGAGTTCAAGCCATTCTCCTGCCTCAGTCTCCTGAGTAGCTGGTATTACAGGCATGCACAGCCATGCCTGGCTAATTTTTGTATTTTTAGTAGAGATGGGGTTTCACCATGTTGGCCAGGCTGGTCTCAAACTCCTGACCTCAGGTGATCCTCCTGCCTCAGCCTCCCAAAGTGCTAGGATTACAGGAGTGAGCCACTGCTTTTTTCTAAGGTTAAAGGTTAGGTGATATCTTTAGGTCAAGAGCCTGCTGGCCCCTCAGTCATATTAGACACACTTACCATAGGCCCAGAGTTCATGGAGACAGAATAGACCTCCCGGACCTTTCCTATCCAAGGAGGTTGGGAAGTCGGGATTCATAACAGAGAAATAGGAGGTTCTGAACTATCTGGGAAGATAGCAAGAGAAATCTACTGATGTGATGGCTTGTGCAGAGCAAAAGAGATCCTTTGTGGAAAAAAAAAATGTTTTCTTAAAGAGACGGAGTATCACTCTGTCACCCAGGCATTGTACAATGGTGCAATCTCAGCTCACTGCGAATGCCACCTCCACCTCCCTGGTTCACACAATTCTCCTGTCTCAGCCTCCCGAGTAGCTAGGATTGCAGGTGCCTGCCACAATGCCCAGCTAATTTTTCTGTTTTTGTAGAGATGGGGTTTTACTACATTGGCCAAAGTGGTCTTGAACTCCTGACCTCAGGCGATACTCCTGCCTAGGCCTCCCAAAGTGCTGGATTACAGGTGTGAGCCACCACGGCAGCACCTTCTTAAAAGATTTTAAACAAACTTGCTTCTTGCTGTGAGAGGAACAAAGATGAATAAACTCCCTTAGCAGTTGTCTTCTTTTCTAATGCATGACTGGCAAAACTCAGTCATTTTTCGGATCCAATCCACTCTGGCAGAAGCTGCAGATATTCTGGGTCCCAGCCCCACCACTTCATCAAAACCGGCCTCTCTGGGGATATTAAAACCACTTTCTTGTTGCCAAATCCAGTGTATATTTCCCTGGGAGGGGTCCCAAGACAGAAACACCCAAGCAAGTCACTTCCAGAGTTCTGAGCCATAGAAACTAGGAGATCATGGGTGCTGTTTTAGGCCAGTAAATTTTAGAATACTTTTTTTTTTTTAAACAAAGAAATAGATAAGGAATTTAGTGTTTTAAAAAAACATGTATCAAATATTATTAACTGATTAATGAGGGAACCAGCAAGATGACAAAGGTCATTCAAAGGAAGATATGAGAGGCTGGGACCGGTGGCTCATACCTGTAATCCCAGCACTTTGGGAGGCCGAAGCAGGTGGCCTGAGGTCAGAAGTTCGAGACCAGCCCGGCCAACATGGTCTCGAACCCCATCTCTCAACCCCATCTCTACTAAAAACACAAAAATTAATCAGGTGTGATGGTGGGCTCCTGTAATCCCAGCTACTCGGGAGATGAGGCAGAATTGCTTGAACCTGGGAGGTGGAGGTTGCAGTGAGCCAAGATAGTACCACTCCACTCCTGGGTGACAGAGTGAGACTCCATCTCAAAACAAAAGAGGATATGAGAAATCGATATGCATAGTCCGTGGGGAAAAGAAGGTTGGAATAAGATAGCAAAGTAGACACAAAAATGGTGAATGCCCTAAAGGGCAATAACACTATAACATTTGTGGTTTTCTTTTCTAATAGGACAGAAATTACTTACAAGTAAATTATCTGCAAGGAAGCATCCAACTCAGAGTCTACACCCTCCTCAATCAGATAGCTGTAGGCAGGCTTGCTTTAGACTATGCTCTAGGGAGACTTTGAACATATACGTCACCGTCTTTTGCCTCACTAATAAAGATATGATGGACAATGCTGCTTGAGATAAGACACCGATGAAATTGTTATTTTATGGAGTCATTCATAAAATTATTTTACTCATTTATTCAACAAATATTTATTAAGCACCCACTATATGACCAACCCTATTCTAGGTAATAAGGATACAGCAGAATACAGTCACTGTCCTTGTAGAACTTGTAGCCCACTGTGGATTCATTTCAGTATAAAGGGTAGGCATTGTCTGAAAGCCATGATTTGGGGTCTCATCAGAAACCAGCCCACAACCCCCACCCCAATCAAGAGCCCCTTCCGCTGTCTTGCTGTATGTGCATGAAACATGACATTGGCTTTTGGGGTACACTTCTGAGATGGGTGTTCCATTTCTTGTTGTTCTTAGAAGTGGGACTTCTGAGAAGGGTGCTACATGCCACCTTGCTTAATCCTTTCTTAATTCTTTCTAAGGACTGTAACAGCTGAGAATTTGTTAAAGGGAAAGAGGCAGTATTTTTTCTTTTTAAAGAAGCACACTGTATTCATCAAAAGGAAGCTGAGCATTATCCTGGATGTTACGGTACATGTGTATAGTTAGATACTGCTTAAAAATGGAAATAAGAACTGGCAGGAACTCTTGAAAAGTGTAAGAGCTTTAGTCAGTGCCATGGTCTGAATGTTTATGTCTCCCTAAAATTCACACATTGAAATCTTCACTCCCAAGATGGTGGTATTGGGAGGTGGGGCATGCTAGGAGGTGATATTGGGAGCTGATTAGGTTATGGAGAGCTCTTATGATTGGGATGAACGCCTCAGAGACTGCCCCCGACATCTGCCACGAAAGGTTAGGGTGAGAAAATGGCTGTCTAAGAGGAAGTCACTCTCACCACACACCAAATCTGCTGACCCCTTGAGCTTGGACTTCCTAGTCCCTAGAACTGTGAGCAACAAATTTCTGTTTTTTATAAGCTACCCAGTCTATGGTATTTTGTTTTAGCAGCCTGAATGGACTGAGACAGTCCAGAAATTCCTCTCAACAGCACTACAGTGGCCATCTGGTTGTGCGGCTGCTATGGCAGATGAATAACTGTTGATTCAGCTCCCTGGCTCTAAGGAGGCTGACCATGCCTACATTTGGTCACAGACTTCAACGGAGACCCCATCTCCATTGGGAGAATAACACAAGTAGAGAATGGCAATGAATGTCAACAATTTGCAAGCAATAGCTCAATCAAGAGGCTTCTGTGAACCCAATTTGTCAGAAGCATTTAACCTTAAAATGTACATGATAATCCAGTGTAGCAGACACTGTGGTGTCCCCTCTTCAGGGCCAATGCTGCCATCCCCCAGCTGCTGACGATTCACAGCAGGGACTCTCCCAGGGAATTGCCCTCAGCCACAAGAAGCTGCCTCACCAAAGGCTGTACTCTCCAGGGCAATGACTGGCTGATGCAGGGACACAAAGGCAAACACAGCACTGACTTTAGGCTCAAAGACAGCTACCCTGGGAAAGAGGAGGAGAAGGATGATGTGAAGGATGGGCAATGGATGACCTCAGTGCAATTTGTAATGTTTAATTCCTTAAAAAAGAAAAAGAGTCTGGGAAACATAGTAAGAACCCTGTCTCTACAAAAAAAAGATAAAAATAGAAATAAATTAGCCGGACCTGGTGGTGTGCACCTGTGGTCCCAGCTGAGGTGGGAGGATCACTTGACCCCAGGAGGTTGAGGCTGCAATGAGCCGAGATTGTACCACTGCACTCCAGCCTAAGTGACAGAGTGAAACTGTGTCTCAAAGAAAAAAAAAAAAAGAAAGAAAAGACCTGAAGCAGATGAGATCTGATAAGGCCTGAAGCTAACACCTGAACTTTTAAATATTATTCTCCAGTCTTTTTTTTTTTTTTCTTGAGAGAGCATCTTGCTCTGTTGCCCAGGCTGGAGTGCAATAGCACTATCTTAGCTCACTGCTGCCTTAACCTCCTGGGATCAAGCAATCTTCCCACGTCAGCCTCCCCAGTAGCTGGGACTACCGACCTGTACCACCATGAGCAGCTAACTTTTGTATTTATTTTTTAGTGATGGGGGTCTCACTATGTTGATTAGGCCGGTCTTGAACTCCTGGGCTCAAGCGATTCTCTCACCTTAGCCTCCCAAACTGCTGGGAATGACATGAGCCACTGTGCCCAGACTATTCTCTATTATTGATTGTATGTGCGAAATATACCATCATAAAAAAGGACCAGTGGAATCAAAGATAGGGGCTTAATGGGCATATTTGTGCTTATTTAATTCATTTTCCTTTTCCTATCTCTAGGCAGGGTACAGATAGGGGAAACTGTGTTTTCTGAGTGCTTTTATGTGCCATGGACCTGTGGGGGCTTTTATATTTTGAAATATGAATTCATGTACATGTTAGGCAGGATTTTATACTCTTTCCAGGATCTTTCTATAGATTTCACATTGGTAGCAGGTTCTATTCACAGTCAGACATCATTAGATTTCATTCTAATATCAAACCTGTGGTTTTCTTGCTACAACTGTATCTGTTTCTTTAAGGTGGAGTTTAACTCAAGCCAAAGCCTTTTTAAAATCCTTCTTCCCAAGCTTACCTGAGCTTCCTAGGATGCACATGATCTGCCCACTCTCCACGTACAAGGAGACGTCTTTGAGGATCTGCCTGGTCCACTGTCGCTGGCAAGATGTGATGTCCCACCAGGGCCCCACACGGTGGCTTTAAAGGAAATCCCAGGAAAGCAAAGGCAGCATGGGGCCCTGGAAGGGGCTACACCTGGGTCCCCAGCATTGATCCCACCTGTGTCCCACCCCAGTTATCTTCAGACAGGCTCCTAACGTGTTTCAGCCTCGGCATCCTTCTCTGTAGAACCTGGCAGGTAGCGACTGAGGCTGTCTGTCACCTAGGGAGGGGGCCTGTGCTGGAGCTGCTCCAAATGTCCTGCCCATTTGTCTGGGAGGTGGTTGTCCCTACATTCGTCACCTGGATTCAAGACTCCTTTATTCCCAGCTCCCCAGGCCCCAGATTCTCTCCATCTGCAGAGGGCAAGTGGTAGACACTAGGGTAGGCAGGGCACAGCTCAACTTTGTTTATACCTAGGCCCTTCCCTGGGCAGGGGGAGGGGCCATTTACTGTTGCTCCCTATTTCCCAGTGCAGCCCTTCCCCCTCTCTTCTCTCCACCTGATCCACTGAAGAGGGAGCCCCAAAGTCTCCAGCCAGGCAGCTCAAGAGTGAAAAAAGGCAGCAGAGGGCCCCGTGCTCCTGGGGAGGAGCAGCAGCAAGGTCTCTGCCTTACCTGATGCTGTAGGAGGCATGGAGGATGCCCAGACTGTGAGGCTCAGGTGCAGTGGCAGGAGCCCCCTCCAGGGAGCTCTGGGAGCCTCTGTTTACCTGGAGTCCTATGGACCCTCCGGGGGTCAAAGATGGAAGGTCACCCATGGCCAACGGGCAGCAAAGCTGGGCAGATTTTCTGGTAGCCTGACCCTCCTCAGAGTGGCTGCAGTTGGGGAGCCAGTGGCAGACTGCCCTGCCAGCTCCACCTGACCCCAGAGTCCCTCAGGATGGCAGGACTGGGACTTGGCCAAGAAGGCCGTTATCTGATGTACCTTTAGCCAGCGCGTCCTTATCTTGAGAGAGGGCAGAACACACATGTGTTTGTAGGTGGGCTTGCCAGAGAGGAATGCTGGGAGAGCCGGGCCCAGGGCAGGAGGCTGAGGTGTCCCTGCTCCAGGAAACAGAGCGAAGACACTGGCCCTGACTGGCAGCAGCCCGGGTCTAAGAGCTGAGCCCAGGGGCACAGACCTGTGGGCTCCATGGCTGGGAAGGCCACCAAGGAGAGAGGGCTGCCAAAAGGGGCCACTCCCCAGGATGCATTGGTGAGTGAGCGATGGGAAGGTGGCCCAGGCCTGGGGGTGGGCAGGAGAAATGGAACCTTTCTCTCTTCCCTCAGGAGCCTTCTGTCCCAGCCCCACTCAGACAGCAAGCAGCATGAGGACATGGCCACAGGACTGTTTCCTGCATGTCCAAGGGCTGAGGGGAACAGATTCAGGGTCCCAGAGGCCTCTGAGGTCACTTCCTGCCCTAAGAAACATTCCTTTGGAGAAGTGATGTTCTTCTGTGTGACTCGAGACAATTTTACTTTTTCTTTTTGTGACGGAGTCTCGCTCTGTTGCCCAGGCTGGAGTGCAGTGGTGCAATCTCAGCTCACCTCTGCCTCCCAGGTTCAAGCCATTCTCATGCCTCAGCCTCCTAAGTGGCTGGGATTACAGGCACGTACCATTTCACTGGGCAAATTTTGTATTTTTTAGTAGAGACAGGGTTTCACCATGTTGGTCAGACTCAAACTCCTCAGGTGGCCCACCCTCCTCGGCTTCCCAAAGTGCCAGGATTACAGGTGTGAGTCACCATGCCCAGCCAATTTCACTTTTTCCAAATGAGACTCCATCATAGAAACATGCTCACACATGCCAGGGACTCCACTGGGGTCTCCTCCACCCACGTGGCTGTCAGGTTAGTCTCAGTAGTAAAGTGATGGGTGAGACAGGGTGACAGATGACTTTTGTTGGAACATCAGCATGTGTGGCTCTAGCAGGCAATCATAAGGTCTGGGAGAAAGCTGGAAGGTGTAGAAGCAACCAGGCGGCAGGAGGTGGAGGTACAAGCTTTCCTTCCTCATTTTACCTCAGTAGTGTTTACTTGAGAAATAGCTTTGGACTGGAATCGGGGTGTGGCAGGATTTGAACTGGGAGGCTCAAATGGAAGACAGGCGAGAAGAGATCCCCACCCCACCCCCCACCCCATCCCACTTTTCCATCTCTGCCTGTTGTGGGGAGGAGGCAGGAGAGAAAGACAAGCATGAGTGAGGACTCCACACCCAGCGGGGAAAACCACAGGCCACCTGCACTGGCCTTGAGTTCCCAGGGCTTGACTCGGCCAGACCCAAGGAGACCACCATTTCTAGTCAGTTCTGCAACCATCATACCTGATCGTCTCTGCTCTCTGAATACTTCTTGGGGCCCACAACTTCGGGAAATGCTTACCCCTTGAATAGGATAGAAAGTCAGTGGGGCTTTGGGAACACTTTCTGCCTGGAAGGGCTGATGATTCAGCCACAGCAGCTTGAGAGGCAAAGCAGTGCTAGGACCTCACGTCCAGAAATGCACGCAGGCCCCTCCGTCCCATCCTGTCACTCCAGGTGCTGAGCGATGGTCTGCCCCAACACCTGTGGGGCTTGGAACAAGAGGATGAGGGTCATATTTCCTATGTCTAGATATATAAAAGTCATCAGTCAAGCTAAGAAGAGTTAAATCAAACAGTTCTGGTCAGGCGAGGTGGCTCATGCCTGTAATCCCAGCTCGTTGGGAGATTGAGGTGGGTGGATCACAAGGCCAGGAGACCAAGGACCATCCTGGCCAACATGGTGAAACCTAGTCTCTACTAAAAATGCAAAAATCAGCTGGGCCTGGTGGCGGGTGCCTGTAGTCCCAGCTACTCAGGAGGCTGAAGCAGGAGAATCTCTTGAACCCGGGACAAAGAGGTGCAGTGAGCCGAGATTGCACCACTGCATTCCAGCGTGGTGACAGAGTGAGACTCTGTCTCAAAAAAATACAATTAAATTAAAATTTTTAAAAAAACAGTTTTCATCCTCTTATCTTGACATATCTTCTTCACAACCTGAAAGGCCAGGTGTAAATTGAGAAATTCTAGGGCATCTTGACTAGAATGCGCTGGTACAGGTAAGCCCCTTCCAGCCCAAGCCACAACTGTCCCCCTTTTTTGCCCCCTTCATCTCCATCTCACTCCATGGGGCCTTCAACACCCTGAGTGGTCACCCTTCTGTCTGCCTGCATTGCAGCCCTGCCCTGCACAGACATATGCCCCTCTGGTCTAAGGGTGCTCAGGAGGTCAGGCTTGGGAGGAGGTGCACAGACCCTGGAAATGAACTTAGGGCCATTTGCACAGAGAATTCTAGCATCTTGGGTACCTGGAGTGGCAGGTGCCCTTAACCCACAAACTCCTCATGCCATGGGCAGGAGCAGTGACAGAGAAGGCAAGAGAGACCCTGGCAGCAGGCAGAACTGTGCGTGATCTAGGCTGAATGTTTTGATAAAATTTCTTCAGCCAGAAACAAGTCCCGAGCGTCCCCTCGCCAACCCCTGCAGCTGTGAGTCTCAGCACCACACTCTCCGCCAGGCTCCGGCTCCTCATCTCCGAACTAGAAACACATGCTCTGTGTTTCCTTCTTGCCTAGGCTTCTGACTCAGGAATTCAATCAGAAGTTAATACGAGGAGAAATTACAATGTAGCCCAGCAGGAGCTGAGCTGGTTACCTACAAATAAACCTGCTTTTGCTTTTTTGGGTGTCACCTGTCAAAAACTGGAGTGATGTTCTGACAGTCGTACTGATTAAGATGTCAGCCGAATAGATATTTAAGTATTTGAAAAATACAGAGAGTTTGTCAAAACCTCAAGAAGAGTCTAACAAATCCTTCCTGGGAGCCAAGGAAAATATTTCAAAATGGAACAGAGGTTGTTCCCAACCAAGGCATGAATTTTCTTCCTCCGAAAAATGAGCTGCCTGTGGAAGTCTCGGAAGGCACCATGGCTCAATGGTTACTGGAGTCCGGGCTGGCCCGTGCCTGCCTTCCCAGCCCACAGTGAAGGGGCTTGGGGCAAGCCTTGGAACAAGGAACCAGGCACCTCTCCCCTCCCTCTTATCCCATTTCTGCTCTGCCTCCTCTTTCCTCCAGCTTCCTACCCTTCTAAAAGTGCCGCACAGTGGAACCTAGCTGGGCTGCAGGTCACCTCCATACATCGCTCCAGACTCCAAATGTCTGACCTCCCTTCCTCAGTGCCTCCTCCAGGCCTATATCTGACCTGGGGATGTTTTGGCCAGGGGAAATAATTTCTCAGCTCATTTACATCTGATGCCAATTGCCTAATAAACTTCCTGCAGATACTTGCTTTAGAAACAACAGCAAAGCTGGGCACGGTGGCTCACGCTAGTAATCCCATCATTTTGAGAGGCCGAGACGGGTGGGATCACTTGAGGTCAGGAGTTTGAGACCAGCCTGGCCAACATAGTAAAACCCCGACTCTGCTAAAAATACAAAAATCAGCTGGGTGTCGTGACGGGTGCCTGTAATCTCAGCTACTCAGGAGGCTGAGGCAGGAGAATCACTTTAAATCCAGGAGGTAGAGGTTGCAGTGAGCTGAGATAGCACCACTACACACCAGCCCGGGTGACAGAGTGAGACCCCATCTCATGAGTTTCTTAGCAATGAATAAGATTTTTTTTTTTTTTTTACAGAGTCTCACGCTGTGGCCCAAGCTGGAGTACAGAGGCACAATCTCAGTTCACTGCACCTCCACCTACCGGGTTCAAGGGATTCTCCTGCCTCAGCCTCTCGAGTAGGGTAGCTGGGACTACAGGGGGCACACCACCGTGACAGGCTAATTTTTTTTTTTTTTTTTTAGTAGAGACCGGGGTTTCACTGTGTTGGCCAGGCTGGTCTTGAACTCCTGGCCTCAGGTCATCTGCCCATCTGGGCCTCCCAAAATGTTGGGATTACAGGCATGAGCCACCACACATAGCTGACAATGACTAAGGTTTTTTTATTATTTAACAACAACAACAAAAACAAAAATGCGAAAATGAGGCAATGTGTACAGTGACGGTGGAGAGGCCAAAGGGCTGACCTGGCAGGAGTCCAGACCCTCTCACCTCCTCTCCCCCAACCTCCCTCCTGCTTTGGGGCTTTGGCAGCTGGGATTTGAAGTGGGAATGAAACTCTGGAGTTCTACTCACTGGTTGCTCTCTCAGTTTGACAACATATTGTGAAATCTTGTCACAAATTAGCTTAAAGAACTCTCATGTATCCACCACCAATTACCAAAAGCTTTGAAGCCTGATCCCCACACTCCTACTGCGTTCCCTTTCTCCTTTCATCTCTCCCCACTCCCCAGAGATAACCCTTCTCCTGAATTAGGTGTTTATCTTTCCCACTTTTTTTCCTGTATAATTTTGGGTCTTTATGGTAATCCCAGCTGTTTGAGAGGCTGAGGTGGGAGGATTGCTTGAGCCTGAGAGGCGAGGATGCAGTGAGCTGTGATCGTGCCACTGCACGCCATCCGGGGTGACACGGCAAGACCCATCTAAAGAAAAATAAGTGGTGGGGGACTTCCTAGTTGGTTCTTTGTTTAAGCCTCAATGATTTAAATGATTGAATTGTCAAAATAGGAGGAATTCAGCTCTTCAGATGGTTGATCCCATTCAAGGTATCAGCTGATACCATGAAACCCTGATTTTTTAATGTACGTTCAGATAAACCACCACTTCGACAATAACAACATGATGATGATGATGATGATGATGATGATGATGATGAGAGGAACTTCCTTTCAAAGCTCCCAACAGCATTTTCAATCGCTGTTGCAGAAACTCCTCATGAAAATAAGACAGGACTTTTCTCAGAGTGGTGTCTTCCTGAGTACTGGGCATTAACTCTTGATAGCTGCTTCCCTCTCACATGCTGCATGTGTTATGTCAGTTTGGCATCAGGAGATACTAAGTCAACTGCAGGGAAAAGAAAGTTCAAGGCCAAGGGTTTGCTCACTCCAGTCAGGTCTTCTCAGAGCACAGAGGTTTGTTTATGGATGTTCCTCCAGTAGGGAATCTGGATCTAGCCTCCACCAGCCTGAGGCTGAGGTTCTCTGGGGCAGCAAGGGAGCCCCTCACCTGTTCTGTCTCCCACAGGGCCTCCAGGATAGATTGTTCTCCTCTGAAAGTGACAACAGCCTGTACTTCACCTACAGTGGCCAGCCCAATACCCTGGAGGTCAGAGACCTCAACTATCAGGTAAGAGGCACGCCTGGGTTTAAGGGGAGAGGAGCAGGCAGGGACAGCCAGGAAATTCCCCGGGTGGAAGAAAGGGGAGGGTCCGCCCTGCAGGCCCTCTACCCCCAAGGACAGAGTCCAGTCCACATTGATGCCTCACATGTCAGGTGCACTATGTGGCATCAGTGGCATATATCAGAGCTGGAGGCTGAGAGGCTCGAAACGAGAATGAAACTGTTGTATAAACATAAAGCAAAATGTGTGAACCTATAGAAAAGTATCTCTGGGACTCTTTTTTAACTATATTTTGAAATAATTTTAGATTTTGGAAAAAATTGCAAAAATAATACAGTTTTTCCATATACCCATTTTCCAGCTTCCCCTAATGTTAACATCTTGTGAACCCATAGTATAATTATGAACACTAAGAAGTTAACAATATACAATGCTACTAACTACACTTTATTCAGATTTCATTGAATATATATATATATATATATAAATGTACAGTCCCTGGAGCTTTATTCAGATTTCATTGAATATATATATATATATATATATATATAAATGTACTGTCCCTGGAGCTTATGAAACATCCAGTGTGCAAAGACAACCACTGGCCTTTCAGAGGCACCCAGGAACCCACTGGTCAGATTTAAGGATCCATATTCCCACAACTCCCCAAGGCCCAGATGGATCATGGTGGGGCCTGGGATGGTGAACATCAGAGGCCTGAGTCTGGCTTCCTGTGGGAGTGAGTTGGGACAAGCAGATGAGCCTTTCTCTGCTCTGCCACTTACCAACTGTGTGGCCTTGAGCAAGTTACTTAACTGCCCTGAGCCTCAGCTGTAAAACAAGGATTCTAATAGTACCTATGTTTGCAATGAGGATTGAATAAGAGGACGGATGTTACGTGTTTAACACAATGTCTTGCACATAGTAAACATTTGATAAATTATTGGTAAATTGCTATCATCGAGTGAAGACATTTTGCTTTGTTTTATTTCTATTTTTATACATGATTGCACATTTATACATGATTGCTTTTCTTTTTTCTTTTTCCTTTTCCTTTTTTTGAGATGGAGTCTCACTCTGTCACCCAGGCTGAAGTGCAGTGATACAGTCTCAACTCACTGCAATCTCTGATTCACTGCCTCCCAGATTCAAGCGATTCTCCTGCCTCAGCCTCCTGAGCAGCTGGAATTAAAGGTGCCCACCACCACGCTGGCTAATTTTTGTATTTTTAGTAGAAACAGGTTTTACCCTGTTGGCCAGGCTGGTCTTGAACTCCTGACCTCAGGTGATCCAACTGCCTCAACCTTCCAAAGTGCTGAGATTACAGGCATGAGCCACTGTGCCCAGCCTGCACATGCTTTTCATTCCTCTTATCTTCAGACCTGGAAACAGCAGCTACAGTTTCTCAGCGTGGGTCCAGCTTCTGTGTTTGGTAGAACCTGGGCTGGAGCTTATTGCGTGTAGGTGGGGACATGTCCTCTGCAGGGAAGGGCCACCTGGGACACGAGGGAGCTGAACAGAAGTTGCTGAAGCCCTGTGAACCATTCAGCTCTCTAAGGAAGTTCTGATGTCTCCCCACAGGTGGACGTGGCCTCTCAGGTCTCCTGGTTTGAGCACCTGGCTCAGTTCAAGATGCCCTGGACATCTCACAGCCGCAGAAGTTCTTATGAGCTGGGCATCCAGAACCTGAGCTTCAAAGTGAGAAGTGGGCAGATGCTGGCCATCATAGGGAGCTCAGGTATCCAGAAAGGCAAATAGCTGGGAAATTGTTTCTCTCCTGGGATGCAGAATGGTCCTTTGGACAAATGGATGCTTTTTATGGAACTCTTTGCTGACTAGTGGAATAATATAGTAGAATGGTTGAGAGCACAGGTTCTGGGTCAGAGAGACCTGGGCTCAACCTCCATTTGCTGGCTTGTGGGCAGGTGCTGTTGTTACAAGTCATGAGTGTGCCTCTTGTCCACCCGAGGCTGCAGCCAGAGCATCTGACTTTGGTTAACACCCGGACTGAGAGCTTAGCAAACAGCTTCAGCATGTAATGATCTGTTCAGACTCCTCCAGTCATAAGGGGCATTAGCTCAGGTTGTTCCTCTACAATCACATTCTGATTATGGCCAGGCAGCCCCTGCCACACCCTCACCCCTCACACGGCCCCTCCAGCATCTTACTTAGCACAACCTTCACTCACCTGCGAAGAGCCAGGTTCTTGGAGTGTCTCAAATAGTCACTTCCATGGCCAAATTTAAAATGAGAGAATGTCTGAGCTGAAAGGGGGTTTGGGGAACAGAGTTCATTCTGTGTTCTACCTTTCCTTCTCCCTACCAGTTTGGAAGCATTTTCAGAGGAAGGTGTTCAAACTCCCTACTCCTCAGTGTGTTTAGAGTATCTTCCTGCGTGCACACACACACACACACACACACACACACACACACTTCCCTCCATTTGACAGATGAGGAGACTCAAACCCAGAGAAACTGAGTGATTCTCCTAAGGACACATACTTCATGCAGAGCTAGAACTAGAACTTTGGTTTCACGATCTCAGATCAAGGCATTTCTCCCTGGGACACCCTTACATAGTGTTAGAGAAAACATTTTATACCTTTTAATTAATCATTTCCAGGGGTAGAGATTACTCAATTTTTTTAAACCTCAGCTCCAAACTTTTACACCCTTCTGATAGATAAGTTCTGTTTACTATATAACCAAAGATCAAATGAGATCTTGTGAGTAAATGCACTTTGTAACTGAAACAGCATGCACAGTCATTAAGTTCATCTCACTCTGTCCCTGTCCCTGTCCCTACAATCCTGACCCAAATAAGAAAAAAATAGATCCCTTATGGGCCTACTATTGTATTTTTATTTATAACATCTAGTAGTGTTTCTTGTTATATCTGCCTTCTCTTCTTGAATCAGCATCTATGGGACACCTGGGTCCTTACTTAGGGTTATCATGGTTAATATTTGTCACATGCAACTCTCTAGCTGTCAGTATCCCTGATTTGTGGTTGAGGAAAGTTCAGAGAGGCTGAGAAAGAATTATATTGAATATTTGGGAGGTTGAGGCAGGAGGACTGCTTGAGGCCAGGAGCAACATAGGGAGGAGACTCCATCGCTGAAGTATTTTTTTTTAATTTAAAAAATTAGCTGGGCATGATGGTATGCCCCTGTAATCCAAGCTACTCAGGAGGAGTGCTTGAGCCAGGAGTTCAAAACTGAAGTGAGCTATGATTGTATCACTACACTCTAGCCTAGGCAACAGAGCAAGATCCTATCTCTTAGAAAAGAATGAATAAATTACATTGATTTTTTTGAGACAGTCTTGCTCTGTAGCCCAGGCTAGAGTGCAGTGGTGTGATCTTGGCTCACTGCCACCTCCGCCCCCGCCCCCTACCCAGGTTCAAGCAATTCTCCTGCCTTGGCCTCCCAAGTAGCTGGGATTACAGATGCGCAACACTATGCCTGGCTAATGTTTTTGTACAGCTGTGGTTTCACCATGGTGGCAAGGCTGATCTCCAACTCTTGGTCTCAGGTGATCTGCCTGCCTTGGCTTCCTAAAGTGCTAGGATTACAGGCATGAGCCACCCACTCAGCATCTCCTGGCTGTTTAACTATAGATTCAGTGTTGTTTGGCTTCAAGTTCACTTGCCTGTGTAAAACAAAAACAAAAATGAACAAAAAAAACTTCAGGCAAGTAAATAATAGAGTTATTTGAGCAAAGAATGATTAATAAATCTGGCAGCACTCAAAACCAGGACCAGTTCAGAGAGCTCCCCCAAGCAATTTGGTCAGGCAGTGTTCATAGACAGAAAAAGGAAGAGCCAGGCCGGGCACGGTGGCTCACACCTGTAATCCCAGCATTTTAGGAGGCCAGGGTGGGTGGATCACGAGGTCAGGAGTTTAAGACCAGCCTGGCCAAGATGGTGAAACTCCGTCTCTAATAAAAATACAAAAAAAAATTAGCAGGGCATGGTGGCAGGCACTTGTAATCCCAGCTACTCAGGAGGCTGAGGCAGAGAATTGCTTAAGCCTGGGAGGCGGAGGTTGCAGTGAGCCGAGATCATGCCACTCCACTCCAGCCTGGGTGACAGAGTGAGACTCTGTCTGAAAGAAAGAAAGAAAGAAAGAAAGAAAGAAAGAAAGAAAGAAAGAAAGAAAGGAAGGAAGGAAGGAAGGAAGGAAGGAAGGAAGGAAGGAAGGAAGGAAGGAAGGAAGGAAGGAAGGAAGGAAGAAAGAAGGAAGAGAAAAGAAAGAAGGAAAAAGGAAGAGCCCTACAGAAGAAGTAGCTTGACTGGTTACAGTTTGGTGTTCAACATATTTATTTGAGGGTGATGTGATCAGGTATTGGATATGGACAGGATCTCATCAGTCGGCAGCCTGTGATTGGCCGATGTTTGGCTGCCATGATTGGCTGAGACTCAGCAACTTGTCTCAGCCAATCTCTCTCCTAAGAGAATATACTACTAAGATAAGTTGCACTTTGTTTACATACTAAGTTTGCTTGCAGTTTGCTCTGTGGTAGCTCAAAGTATGCAGGTAGTCTCAGGCCAAAGTTAGTTTAACAGAGCAGCTGAAGTTATTAAAATGATTTATTAGAAAGGTTCATCCACTACACTTCCTGTGATTTTACTGTCGTTCCCCCTACCCCCACCCAACGCACACACAAAGGAAAGCTGGCCATAATTTTTAAAATACAAAGAAAATAGTCCTAGTCATTTTAGTTTCTTTTATAGACTCAGCAATGCCAAAAGTGGTTTCCAATTAATGAATTTACTGATTTGGAGATTTCAACCATTGAATAAGGGTCTTGAATGCCAGCGTGTTTTTTCTTAGTTCATGGAGGGCAGATTAGTCTGTTTTCACACTGCTCTAAAGAACTACCTGAGACTGGGTAACTTATAAAGAAAAAAGTTTTAATTGAATCACAATTCCTCATAGCTGGGGAGGCCTCAGGAAACTTACAATCATGGCAGAAGGCAAAGAGGAAGCAAGATACATCTTACATGGTTGTAGGAGGGAGAGAGTGAGGGGAGAAACTTCCAAACACTTTTAAACCATCAGATCTCATGAGAACTCACTCACTATAATGAGAACAGCATGGGGAAAATCTGCCTTCATGATCCAATCACCTCCCACCAGGTCCCTCCCTTGGGGATTACAATTTGGGATGAGATTTAGCTGGGGACATGGAGCCAAACCATGTCAGAATCTCCCCAGATGCCACAGGCATTCTCCATTGGAAAGGCTGCCCACAGCATTCACAAAGTTTTGCTCAGGAAACATGGCCTTCCTGCTCTCCGAGTGGGAATCCATGGTCTCTGTGAATGTTGGTGAAGTCTTCTGTACCCTCAGAGCCTGGCTCTGAAGCTTCTCTCCCAGGTTTCTCTCTTGGCTATTTTGCTCCACACATGTTCTCAGGGATCTTAAATGAGGTGCACCCAGAGGTAGTTCACGGCCCCTCTACGCTGAGAGCCTCTGCACAGCAACCAGAAAGATCACATGGGGAAGCTTCTTGGTTCTGCTGGTTTGTACTGGGTGCTGTGGGGCTTCCTGCAGGAAGCACATAGTGTGTGGCAGACAGGACTTATCACACGTGTATTGGCTTGTGTGACAAAGACTGTTTAAACACAACTTGAGAAACTGGCTCTCCAAAAGGAATATACAGTAAGGAAATCAAATCTCCATCTAGGGCCAAGCACGGTGGCTCACGCCTGTAATCCAGCACTTTGGGAGGGTGAGGCAGGTGGATAGCCTGAGGTCAGGAGTTCAAGACCAGCCTGGCCAATATGGTGAAACCCTGTCTCTACTAAAAATACAAAAATTAGATGGGTGTGGTGGCGGGTGCCTCTAATCCCTGCTAATGAAGAGGCTGAGGTAGGAGAATCTCTTGAACCCAGATGGCAGAGGCTACAGTGAGCTGAGATCATGCCACTGCACTCCAGCCTGGGCAGCAGAATGAGACTCCATTTCAAAAGCAAACAAGCAAAAAACACTCTATTTGGGGGATTGGAAGGAGTTCATTCCTAACTCCATGGTAGGAGGATGTTCTGAGCCTGAGCCCAATTCACATTCACAGTTTAAACAGCTGCCACAGAAAGTGCCTCATCAAAGCTTTTGGAAACTAGATCCAATAGGATGGTTGCTTTCTCAAATAAATAATAATTAGCACATCATTCAGAAGGATGGGGTAAACTTGAGTGCAATGAATCTGTTTTTTTAACTTTTAGGTCTGGGGGTACACATGTATACCCATTTGTTATATAGGTGTACTAAATAGGTACACTAGTGTCACAGGGGTTTGTTGTACAGATTATTCCATCACCCAGGTGCTAAGCCTAGTACCCAAGTTATTTTTCCTGCTCCTCTCCCTCCTCCCAACCTCCATCCTCAAATAGGTTAATCTTTTTTTAAAAAGAGAATTAAAAATATCACTGATGCACTTTGGGAGGCCGAAGTGGGTGGATCACTTGAGGTTATGAGTTCAAGACCAGCCTGGCGAAACCCCGTCTCTACTACAAATACAAAAATTAGCCAAGCATAGTGGCAGGCGCCTGTAATCCCAGCTACTCAGGAGGCTAAGTCCGTGAGAATTGCTTGAACCTGGGAGGCAGAGATTGCAGTGAGCCAAGATTGTGCACTCCAGCCTGGGTAACAGAGTGAGACTTTCTCAAAAACAAAAAAGTATCACTGACGAAGAGTGAGATGGGTGTGGAAGATACAGTCAGGACATATGTGTACACTATGCTGAAGTTTTAAAATCATTTCCACATCTATTATTTCTCTATTTTTTCCTCCACTATTTCTCAAAATAGATTCGGGTTTGTATTTTTAAAAGCCACTCTGTAAATGCTCCAAATTAGTCCTCACAAAGCCAGCTTCTGAACCAAACAACATTGAATAATGAGATGTTGCTGGCATGTTTGCCAGCCAAAAATAGTTATGTTAACATCAGCCTTGCTTGGGGAGAAAGGGCCTTGGTTGATGGCAGGAGGGGACAAATGTTCCAGGCAGCAGCTGGCTCTGTGGCATCTGGGACTCCAGCCTTCCCCTGTCGTGCCACCACTGGCTGGCCTGGCCTGAACCCCCAACACCATCATGCCTCGCAGCCCCACAGGGTGCTCACATTGGCCGCAGACAGAAGGCTTGGAGCTCCATGTCCTGGGGCCACCCCATCAAAGTCCAGGGGCTATGTCATCTGTCTAGGGCTGGTCACATCTGCATGGACAGAGTAGTCCAGGATCCTGGAGAGTCGTGGGGAGCAGAGGCCACCAGCCTGAACCCCACAGAAGTTCTGCTCTCAGGGACGCCTCCGGTGACTTCACAGGCTGTGGGAGAGCCTCATTGCTGGACGTCATCACTGGCCGAGGTCACGGTGGCAAGATCAAGTCAGGCCAGATCTGGATCAATGGGCAGCCCAGCTCACCTCAGCTGGTGAGGAAGTGTGTGGCCCACGTGCGCCAGCATGACCAGCTGCTCCCCAACTTGACCGTGCGAGAGACACTGGCCTTCATTGCCCAGATGCGGCTGCCCAGAACCTTCTCCCAGGCCCAGCGTGACAAAAGGGTAACTAACTGGCCCCAGTAGTGACCCCAAGGGTCCAAGAAGCCACCAGGTCCATGCCCCCCTCCTCCCCTGCTACCCTCAGGACCCAGCCACAGGTCGAGTTTGAGCAACTCAGCTTGCCGTCCGCCTGCCCTCCACCCTGGGCCTCCATATGAGTAGAGAGCTGTGGTCCCCAGTCCACAGCCACGTTCCTAACACAGGGCACCATACCCGGCATGTCGAGGTGGCTCAGGACCTGTGGAAGGAATCGGGGGAACCAGCGTTGCAGCTCATAACTCAAGAGCTGGAGCTGTCACTCTTCACTTTCAAACCCAGCTGGAGGGGCGGGCACCTTTATCCTTGGGGTCACAATGTGTCCAGCCCCAAAGGAGGCCCCTGAGGTGGCCTCAGAGCTCCTTCTGGCCCACAGGTAGAGGACGTGATCGCAGAGCTGCGGCTTAGGCAGTGCGCTGACACCCGCGTGGGCAACACGTATGTGCGAGGGGTGTCAGGGGGCGAGCGCAGGAGAGTCAGCATTGGGGTGCAGCTCCTATGGAACCCAGGTGAGGGCCTGGGGGGTAGACGGGGCAGAGGGACCTGCGTGCCCCCCTCAGGCTTGGCTTGGTCTGGCAGGAGCCCCACCGACTCACCAGGCTCCTCTCTGTTCTGGGAAGGAATCCTCATTCTCGACGAACCCACCTCTGGGCTTGACAGCTTCACAGCCCACAACCTGGTGAAGACCTTGTCCAGGCTGGCCAAAGGCAACCGGCTGGTGCTCATCTCCCTCCACCAGCCTCGCTCCGATATCTTCAGGCTGTTCGATTTGGTCCTCCTGATGACGTCTGGCACCCCCATCTACCTAGGGGCGGCCCAGCACATGGTCCAGTATTTCACAGCCATTGGCTACCCCTGTCCTTGCTACAGCAACCCAGCTGACTTCTATGGTGAGTCCCCAAGGCCAGCAGCCAGGGCCTGGGCACACGGAGCCTCCCCAGCACTTAAACCCTGCCCAAGCTTGCTGAAATGATTCAGGGCAGAAACTCCCAGCAGCTTCAGGAGAAGAGGAGCAAGGATGGTGAAGAATGTGGGGTGGTTTGCCAGATATGCTAGAAATGAGGGCCCAGAAATAGCAGCTTCTGACAAATAGCCACCTTTCTGTGCATGATAGATTAGAAACTTGCAAGCTCCAGAGATGGGAGGGCAGGAAATCCAAGAGGGTTAGGATCGATCAAGATCAGAGTCTTTATTAAGGCTCTGTAGGGAAACTGTCTTTAAGTTCAAGAAGTCAGCAGATCTTAAAACATGCCCTGGTATCCCCATTGTGGCAGCGAGCCTGAAGTGCAGGGTGGCAGAAGGGGACCCAGGTAGTGGTCTCAGCCAGTGAATCTTGAGATATGAAAATTGCTCTGGCAGCCCCAGACTTGCCCTTTGCTTGGGTTCTGAACCCTCAGCGTGTTACACTCTGGGAGCGTGAGCCACTTCCCTCATTCTGCAGGAGACAGTTGCCTTCCCAAGTACCTGCCCTGAAATCTTGAGTGCTGAGGAAGGGCGTGGCTGCTGGACAAGTGGCATGGTTATACCAGGGCCCAGGGAGGCAGCTGTTCTGGCTTCTCCTATAGACTGCCTAAGCCCCCAGCTTTCTCCCAGGATGGCAAGCTGTAGCAAGGACCCCACCAGTAAACAGGACAACAGCCATCATCTCCTTGAAGGCAAACACCGGGCCCAAATGTGCCAGGCTCAGAGGGTCTCCGGTTTGACTTTCAAATCCCTGCCAGGCCAAGGCCATCTCCATCTTTACAGATGGGAAGCCTGGAACCTCCAGAGCTACACACCTGCTCCAGCATGGTTGTAAGGCACAGAACTGGGACATCCCTGGCCCCGACTCCTTATCCAGCTGCCCACACCCTCCTCCTAGTGTCCCAGTTCCCCTCTGTCCTTCCCCCAGGAGGGCAGGCCCCCCCTCACCCTATGTACTCACATTCTGCATGGACTCACAGAGAGGTCACGTCCCTCCCTGTGCTCAGGTGCCAGCCTGGCTTCCTGGCTATGTGTCATCCTCAGTCTAGCCATCCCCATAATAAGGGCCAAAGGTCACCTGCCAACCTGACCACCAGGGAATAATTTTAAGTAGCCCCGGAGAGTGGTTACTAGAAGTAAAATGTCCACAGCAGACCTGAAAAGTCTTTTATTATTTTTTGAGACAGAATTTTGCTCTTGATGCCCAGGCTGCAGTACAATGGCACCATCTTGGCTCACCACAATCTCCGCCTCCTGAGTTCAAGGGATTTTGCCTCGGCCTCTCGAGTAGCTGGGATTATAGTTATGCACCACCACACCTGGCTGATTTTTTGTATTTTTAGTAGAGATGAGATTTCTCCATGTTGGTCAGGCTGGTCTCAAACTCCCAACCTCAGGTGATTTGCCCGCCTCAGCCTCCCAAAGTGCTGGGATTACAGGTGTGAGTCACCACACCTGGCCCTCTATTTTACATTTTATACTGTTACTGGAGGGGGTTCTGGCTTGCAAGCCTCAACAACCTGGGATGCAAGAGCGACATGGGGGGTGCCCAAAACATCTGATGTTTTGAGCTACGGTGCTGCACACTGGGGGCCTCATGGTTTATAAGACCTCACCTAGACAAGATCTTGTCTTGAGATGTGTTATGAAAATGGGAGGAGGGGCTGGGCATAATGGCTCACACCTATAATTCCAGCACCTTGGAAGACCGAGGAGGGCAGACCACCTGAGTTTAGGAGTTTGAGACCAGCCTGGTCAACATACTGAAACCCAATCTCTACTAAAAATGCAAAAATTAGTTGGGTGTGGTGGCACATACCTATAGTACCAACTACTTGGGAGGCTGAGGAACAAGAATTGAACCTGACAGGCAGACGTTGCAATGAGCCAAGATCACACCACTGTACCCTAGCCTCGGCGACAGAGTGAGACTCCATCTCAAAAAAAAAACAAAACAAAACAAAACAAAAAAACAGAAGGATATGGATGGAGAGAAGGGGGAGAGAGAGGAGTAGGGTATTTCTAGCCAAGCCAAGGCTCTGGGGAAGGAATTGAGGGAGGGTGGGCAGGCATGCACGGGCCTAGACTGGGCTGAAAAAAGGGAGGTCCTGGCTGTGGCTGGGCTCAGTTTGTCTTTTCTGGCATTGCCAGGGCCTTGGAAGTAGAAGGCAGAGGCCCTATAGAGGATGGCTGTGGTGTGGGGCTGCCTGGTGCTCCCCACAGGTAGCATCCCTAGATTTAGGAAGGAGGGGCTGATCGGATTGAATCTCCAGCTGAGTGTACTGTCTCCCTCCTGGGGCAGAGCAGCAGACGAAAGGGGCGGTGAGAAATCTACCTGAAGTTGGCTGGTCCATGGAACCCGCCAGCCAGACATTCTCCTGCTTTGGGCAGGCTGCTTGGGAGGCCAAGTTATTAATTTTTTTCAATGTGAGTTAGAACTCTCACCATCTGGATAGAACTCTCACCATCTGAGTAGAACCCTTACCATCTGGATAGAACTCTCACCATATGGGTAGAACTCTTGCCATCTGCATAGAAATCTCACCATCAGGATAGAACTCTCACTATCTATCTGCATAGAACTCTCGCCATCTTGATAGAACTCTCGCCATCTTGATAGAACTCTCACTATCTATCTGCATAGAACTCTCGCCATCTTGATAGAACTCTCACTATCTATCTGGATAAAACTCACCATCTGGATAGAACCCTCACCATCTGCATAGAACTCTCACCATCTGAATAGAACTCTCACCATCTGGGTAGAACTCTCACCATCTGGATAGAACTCTCACTATCTATCTGGGTAGAACTCTCACCATCTGGATAGAACTCGCACCATCTGGGTAGAACTCTCATCATCTGAATAGAACTTGCACCATCTGGGTAGAACTCTCACCATCTGGGTAGAACTCTCACCATCTGAATAGAACTCGCACCATCTGGGTAGAACTCTCACCATCTGAATAGAACTCTCACCATCTGGGTAGAACTCTCACCATCTGGGTAGAACTCTCACCATCTGGATAGAACTCGCACCAGCTGGGTACGACTTTCCCTATCTGGATACACCTCTCACCATCTGGATAGAACTCTCACCATCTGGGTAGAAGTCTCACCATCTGAATAGAACTCTCACCATGTGGATAGAACTCTCACCATCTGGGTAGAACTCTCACCATCTGAATAGAACTCTCACCATCTGGGTAGAACTCTCACCATCTGGGTAGAACTCTCACCATCTGAATAGAACTCTCACCATCTGGGTAGAACTCTCGCCATCTGGATAGAACTCTCACCATCTGGGTAGAACTCTCACCATCTGAATAGAACTCTCACCATCTGGGTAGAACTCTCACCATCTGGGTAGAACTCTCACCATCTGGGTAGAACTCTCACCATCTGGATAGAACTCGCACCATCTGGGTAGAACTCTCACCATCTGGATAGAACTCTCGCCATCTGGATAGAACTCTCACCATCTGGGTAGAACTCTCACCATCTGAATAGAACTCTCACCATCTGGGTAGAACTCTCACCATCTGGGTAGAACTCTCACCATCTGGGTAGAACTCTCACCATCTGAATAGAACTCTCACCATCTGGGTAGAACTCTCACCATCTGGGTAGAACTCTCACCATCTGGATAGAACTCTCACCATCTGGATAGAACTCTCCCCATCCGGGTACAACTCTCACCATCTGATTAGAATTCTCACCATCTCAGTAGAACTCTCACCAACTGGATAGAACTCTCACTATCTGGGTAGAACTCTCACCATGTGGATAGAACTCTCACCATCTGGATAGAACTCTCACTATCTATCTGGGTAGAACTCTCACCATCTGGGTAGAACTCTCACCATCTGGGTAGAACTCTCGCCATCTGGATAGAACTCTCTCCATCTGGGTAGAAATCTCACCATCAGGATAGAAATCTCACTATCTATCTGGATAGAACTCTCACTAACTGGAAACCCAACTACTCAGCCTTCTCTTGACCAGCCCACCTTCTCCCCATGGAAGGGCACTGAGTCCTCATGAAAAGCTTCCTGGATAGCCGGAGTTGGAGCCAGAGCATGACCGTGATGTGGCCCTTGGCTCTGAAGGCTCTTGCTCTGTTCTAAGATATCCCCAAAATGAGCCTGGGTAGTGGGACTTCGGTGGGGCCTGCCCTGTTGCCCATTTTTTGATCCACTGCCCTTCTCCTGAGGCTTCTGCTGATGTGGTCAGGCCTGGCAGGGTGAGGGCCCAGCCCTTGGGGTCCCTCTGCCTCTCTCTGCTCTGTCCCTTTCTTCATGGCTGAGGGCGTGGAGCATGTCTCGGAGCCCCCTGAGGACTGACCAGCATTCTGGACTGGGCGTGCACCAAGCTCCTCACCTGTGAGCAGGTGCCAGGGACCAGGCCACCCATAACTCCACATCCCCTGCTTGCAGTGGACCTGACCAGCATCGACAGGCGCAGCAGAGAACAGGAAGTGGCCACCAGGGAAAAGGCTCAATCACTTGCAGCCCTGTTTCTAGAAAAAGTGCGTGACTTAGATGACTTTCTGTGGAAAGCAGAGACAAAGGATCTTGAAGAGGACATCTGCATGGAAAGGTAAGGCGGTGGGCGGCTCTGAGAGGAGAGCTCCCTGCAGAAGGTGGCTGCCCGCCGACCTGGCCACATCTTCTGCCTTCCTACAGCCTGGCCGCACCAGACACTAATTGCCTCCCAAGTCCTACGAAGATGCCTGGGGCGGTGCAGCAGTTTACCACGCTGATCCGGTAATCATCTGTCATTTTATTACTGACCCCCTTGCCAAGTCTTTGTGTATCACATTAAGCCCTTTCTATGTAAAGTGAATTTGAAGGAAGAAGCAAGAGGTAGAACATTTGAAAAAACAGCCTCCAGTGGGGCGTGGTGGCTCAGTCCTGTAATCTCATCACTCTGGGAGACTGTGGTGGGCAGATCACGGAAGTTCAGGAGCTTGAGACCAGCCTGGGATTATGGTAAAAGCCTATCTCTACAAAAAATAGTTATGGTGGCGTGGGCCGACTTGGTAGGCTGAGGTGGGAGAATTGCTTGATTCCTGGAGGTTGAGGCTGCAGTGAGCCATGATTGTACCTTCACTCCAGCCTGGGCAGCAGAGCAAGACCCTGTCTCAAAAAAAGAAAACAAAAAACCGTATTGTTGGGACTAGCACTAGCCCTCAGCATGACACAGAACACCGCTATTACTTTTATTCTTTAAACAAAATTAAGATATCCTCACCAGCTGGAAGATCGTAGTAACAGCACAGGGAACTTGGAAGTAATGGAGACCACAGGAGAGCATCTCTAGTAAAAAGGGAAGTCCCGGCCACATCAGCCCTCAAAGAAAAGCAGACGGCACTGTGTGGCATGTGTCTTTCCCGATGTTTACACACACACACACACACACGCACACACACACACACGTTTCTAAACATAGTGGGATCATACTCCGCATGCCCATCTGCAACCAGCTTCTTTCCAGTTAGGGCAGCGCCTCTACCTCCCGCCTGATTGCGGCTTCCTCGGAGTTCCAGTCAGTTTAGCCATAATCACCCCGCAACCTGTTAAGTGCATCTTGATGGCCAGATTATCTTCAGGCTTTTGCTGCTACAAGCAGTGAGGCAGCAGACATCCTTGAGTGTGCATCTTTTTTTTTGTTTTTAGGCAGAGCCTCTCTTGTGGCCCAGGCTGGAGTGCCCTAGGTCAACCTCAGCTCACTGCAACCTCCACCTCCAGGGTTCAAGCAATTCTCTTGCCTCAGCCTCCCAGGTAGCTAGGATTACAGGTGTTCACCACCAGGCCCAGCTAATTTTTTGTGTGTTTTTAGTAGAGACAGAGTTTCTTTATGTTGGCCAGGCTGGTCTCAATCCTCTGGCCTCAAGCTATACGCCTGCCTTGGCCTCCCAAAATGCTGGGATAACAATCGTGAGCCACCACGCCCGGCCTATCTGTACATCTTTATGGACCTAATTGATGTCTTCCTCAGAATCATTTCTTTAAGTAACATTACCAAGCTGATACATTGACGATAAAAACAACAATCACTCATTGAGTCGCTCCTGTGGGACAGATGCTGTCATCAATTTTCCGATTTAATCCTCAGAGCAGCTCTGTGAGGCAGTGATTCCCACCCCCATTTTGCATGTGAGAAAAACGAGCTTACAGAGATGGTGACATTCCCAAGGCCACAGGGCTGGCGTGTGCTGTCACCTGAGCATCTCTTCCTCTTGGTTTTTAAGTCGTCAGATTTCCAACGACTACCGAGACCTGCCCACCCTCCTCATCCACGGGGCGGAGGCCTGTCTGATGTCGCTAACCATTGGCTTCCTCTACTCTGGCCCCGGGAGCATCCAGCTCTCCCTCATGGACACAGCCGCCCTCTTGTTCATGATAGGTGCTCTCATCCCTTTCAACGTCATTCTGGATGTCATCTCCAAAAGTGAGTGTGGCCCGCTGGCATGGCCAGGCAGGACCTCAGCCACCTCCGAGCTGTGTTCCTCTGAGCTTCTGGGGAGAACGGGTTTGATTTCATCATGATTGTGATATACAACACAATAATGTTTTTAAAGTTTGCACGTTAATATCAGCATGCAAATGAAAGTAAATTACTGAGTCTTAGCTGTTCCTATCCTAGCAGGATTTATATTTGACAACAGAACACAAGCTACAGACTTGCAAAACCTGAAGAGCCTCATCAAAGATCTAAATTAGGATGGCTTTTCTGTGACTATTTTTTTTTTAAATAAGAGACTTAGGCAATATGATAACTACTTTGAATTGTATTAAGAGCGTCGCCAAAACAGAAACACTGTAGATTTCTTCTACTTTTTCATTCTCTTCTCCTTTCTTCCATGTTTTAGGTTACTCGGAGAGGGCGATGCTTTACTATGAACTGGAAGATGGGCTGTACACCGCTGGTCCATATTTGTTTGCCAAGGTGACCGGGCAGGGTTGAGAGCAAGTGCCCCCCCCCACAAGGGCAGGGATAAGTGTGGAGAAAACATTGCTACAAGGAAGGCTCTTCTGAACCATGAGGGCATGTGGTACATGAAGTCGCAGATGCCACATTTTCTAGGGGAGTTTCAGAGACTCTACCTTTTATTTTCAACATTTACTAAAAGACCAGGACTGTGGATCAGGAATGATAGTTTTGTGGTCAGGAGGAATCTAAACAAAAGAAGCCCTCATTGTATTTGACCTCTTCAGAGCCTCACTGTGGCCCCCCAAGCAGGCCAAGCAGGTGTTTCCTGGAGGCAGAGGTTCAGACAGACCACGTGGCTCTCCAAGGCTACACAGCTATTCGGTCTGGTCAGGAGGAATAGGGACCTGAAACCAGGTCTTAGGATAGCAGGTACCCACCACCACCATGGGGAAACAGGCTGAACTGCCCTAGAGGGAGCACTTGGGATCTGCAAGGGGGAAGACAGAACTGAGCTCATGCGCCTAGGTCCCAGCACACCCTCCTGCCACAGCCTCATCAGGAGGGAAGAGTGCCATGGCGGGCATTGCTACTTTAAAACGTTTATAATAGGCCTGGCGTGGAGGCTCATGCCTGTAATCCCAGCACTTTGGGAGGCCGAAGTGGGTGGATCACCTGATGTTGGGAGTTCAAGACAAGCCTAGCCAACATGGCAAAACCCTGTCTCTACTAAAAACACAAAAATTAGCCAGGCGTGGTGGCACATGCCTGTAATCCCACCTGCTCAGGAGGCTGAGGCAGGAGAATCTCTTAAACCCAGGAGGCAGAGGGAAGTGAACTGAGATCACTCTATTGCACTCTAGCCTGGGCAACAAGAACGAAACTCTGTCTCAAAAAACAAAATTATAATGATGGCAGTGAAGGTGCTGGCTTCACATCCTTGCAAGGCTGTTCTTTGCAGGTCCTCGGGGAGCTTCCAGAGCACTGTGCCTACATCATCATCTACGGGATGCCCACCTACTGGCTGGCCAACCTGAGGCCGGGCCTCCAGCCCTTCCTGCTGCACTTCCTGCTGGTGTGGCTGGTAGTCTTCTGCTGCAGGATTATGGCCCTGGCCTCCGCGGCCATGTTCCCCACCTTCCACATGGCCTCCTTCTTCAGCAATGCCCTCTACAACTCCTTCTACCTCACCGGGGGCTTCATGATAACCTTGAGCAGCCTGTGGACAGGTGAGGCCTGCTCCCCAGACCTGGGCCAGCTTCATTAGGCTTCATGAGGCTGGATGAAGCCTGCTTTCATCTGGAGATGGTCACTCGCTATTTAGATCCAACTCGAGCCTGGCCCTTCTGGAAGCAGAAGCCTTTGCCCACTGTCCTGCAGGCAGAAGGAACTATTCCATTGGAGGAGACAGATGTACCTCCTCCTGTCCCACAGCCCATACCCAAAGTTGCCCTCGACTCTCTCCCTCCCTCTCCACATCCACCTGTGAGCCAGGTCGATTCTGCCTCCTGTTTCTCTGAAATGTCTGCTTGGCTATGTCCCCATCCCTGGAGGCAATCATTGGAGCCTGGGCCACTGCTATAGCCTGCTCTCTGTGACCTGGGCCCTCAGGCATGCAGAGTGAGCTTTCCAATGGCAAACCCATGCCCCTCTTTGCTCAAAGCCTCCAGGGCTGCTCAATCCCTGCAGCCTCCCAGCTTTTTGAAGTCCCCAGCACACCCCACCCTCTCACCTCTAGGCCTGCCCGGCTGCTGTCTCTGGGAATGTCATGCCCCTCCTTCCATAGGCCTCACTTCTGCCAGGCCTTTCCTGATGCATCCGGGCAGGGCTTGCCTCCTCCCCCACCCTGTACCATGCCATCCCCATAGGATCAGGGCACAGGCTCCACCGTCTCTGGTGCAGGGCTGCTGAATCTCCTCAGCCCGCACACTCCATGAAGCGGCCACGTGCAGGGTGCCTCAGCAAATCCCTCTCGAGAACTGCTATGGATCATACGTGTGGGTGACCTCACGGCCTCTCAGATCCCTCGGCCCCAGTCCACGTCCCCAGAAGCCTCTCTGCCCTTTTGCCTCTTGGCCTCTCTCCCCTCCTTGCTCATCAGAGGACTTGGGCCAGAGCCATCATGGCGCTGTCTCAGAGTGCGATGTGCCCTTGTGCAGGTGGGGGAAACTGTGGGAATGTGGGGAGACCAGCGGAATATGGGGAAACTTCGTGAATATGGGGGAGATCACGTGGCTCTCCAAGGCTATTCTCTCAGAATATGGGGATACTGTGAGAATATGGGGAGACCATGGGAATCTGGGGAGACTGTGCGATATGGGGGAGACTATCAATATAAAGACCATGAGAATATGGGGAGACAATGAGAACATGGGGAGACCATGGGAATATGGGGAGACTGTGGGAATATGGGGAGACCATGTCAATATAAAGGAGACTGGGAATATGGGGATAATGTGTGAATATGGGGAGACTGAGAATATGGGGAACTATGAGAACATGGGAAGACAGTGTGAATATGGGGAGACCATGGGAATATGGGAAACTGGGGGAATATGGGGAGGCTGTGAGAATGTAGGGAGACTGTGGGAATATGAGGAGACTGAATATGGGGGAGACCATGTCAATATAAAGAAGACCGTGGGAGATTGTGCGAATATAGGGAGCCCATGGGAATATGGGGAGATTGTGTGAATATGGGGGAGACGATGCAAAATGGGGAAGCTGTGAGAATATGAGGGAGACCTATGAGTAACGCGGCTCTCTGTCTCCAGTGCCCGCGTGGATTTCCAAAGTGTCCTTCCTGCGATGGTGTTTTGAAGGGCTGATGAAGATTCAGTTCAGCAGCAGAGCTTATAAAATGCCTCTGGGCAACTTCACCATCCCAGTCCCAGGAGATAAAGTAAGCGGGGAAGGCCTCAGGTTCTAAATGACTGGATGTCCGGCTGCCTGTCCTCCTAATGAGCCCACTGCATGTCTGTGTCTCCAGATCCTCAGTGCCATGGAGCTGAACTCGTACCCTCTCTACGTCATCTACCTCATCGTCATTGGCCTCAGCGGTGGCTTCATGGTCCTGTACTACGTGTCCTTAAGGTTCATCAAACAGAAACCAAGTCAAGACTGGTGATTCATGCCGGGTGCCTGCCCGCTGGTGGGGCACCCAAGCAGACCCTTCAACTGCACTCCTTCCTCAGAAGCCCCTTCCTGGGGACAATGAGGACAATGACCCTAAGAAGCTCAGCTACATCCGGCCCACAGTGCTGCAGTGGCACAGACCAACCACAGGATGGCAGTAGAATAAAGACAGTAGAAAGGGATTTCTGCTCACTGGCAGGAGACTGATGACTGGGAGTGAGAAAACCTGCACTCAGTGGCGCCTACAACGTTGCTAATTTATTTCCTTTTGATATGTGCTTATATAGGCAACTCGATATAGGATGGGAGCAAACTAGGAATAAATTGAGTAGCTAGACTGCAGGAATTGTTAGAACCCAGAGAGAATAATAAAAGTAGCTAGCAGATCTGGCCTCATCTTCCAGGGGCCCCACACTTAGTGGGAGCTATCATCAATACAGAAAGTGATCTAAGATGTACCAGCAAGATGCCACCCCTTCTTTTCGTGTGGGGTCATGGGCTCCAAAAGCCAACGTGAACAATTAAAAATTTATTGAGCATCTACTCTGTGGCAAGTACGTGCAAAACACTTTAGGTGAGCTATTCTTTGAGGTAAGTGGTATCCCACTTTATAGGTGTGAAAACTGAAGCAAAAATTCATTTTTCTAAGGGCACATGGATACTTTCTGGTGGAGTCATGTGGAGGGTCAGAAAAGCCTTTGAGGCCTTTGGAGTTAGAGGGCAGGGGGCAAGACCTGGGCCCCTGTAAGGCTTAGGAGCTCAGGAAGGCTCCAGAAGACAAATGGGGCCTGTAGAGGCTGTGTTAACTCAGCCAGGCTTCTTAGAGTTGCATTTCACTGACTGATATGGTTTGGCTCTGCGTCCCCACCCAAATCTCACCTTGAATTGTAATAATCCGCACGTGTCAAGGGCAGAACCAGGTGGAGATAATGGAATCATAGGGGTGGTTTCCTCCATGCTGTTCACCTGGTAGTGAGTTCTCACGAGATGTGATGTTGTGATAAGGGGCTTCCTCCTTCGCTGGGCTCTCATTCTCGCTCCTGCTCCCTTGTGAAGAGGTGTCTTCCACTGTGATTGTAAGTGTCCTGAGGCCTCCCAGCCATGCTGAACTGTGAGTCAATTAAGCCTCTTTTCTTTATAAATTACCCAGTCTTGGATGTTTCTTCATAACAGTGTGAGAGAGGATGACCCTGCCTGGGTTTCAGGACAAGCCTTGAACCTTTCACAGTGGCCAGAGGATGGGGTGGCACAGGCCCAGGTTGCACGCTTCATGCCTGAGTGTTGGGGACTGTCTGACCTAAAACAGGTGCACAGAGGACAGGAGAGGATGGTCCCAAAGGAAAATTAGAGTTTAGAATCAAAAGAAGGGGAAGATGGGTGTTTGGGAGGCAAATAGCCAATACTCTTTACATGTTCGCTAGAGCCTTGCTACTCCAAGTATCATCTCTGGCACAGCAAAATGGGTACAGCGGGAGCTGGTTGGGTAGGTCCCAGTGAGTCTCAGACCCCACCCAGGCCCACTGAGTCAGAGTCTGTCTGCATCTTAAGATCCCCTGGTGATCTGCGTACATTCAAGCATGCTGCCCTTTCCAAAGCACCCACCACACTCGGGATGCTTGCATAGTCATGTTGCCACCATCCAACCTGCAGACTTCATTCCTGAGATTCACTGGGTGTTCCTATCATGACCTCCTTAGCAAAAGAATCTAGATCAGAATCAACTCTTGGATCTAGTTCTCAAGTCTCTTTGGTCTCCTTCGGTTCAGAACTGTTCATCAACTTTCCTTAACTTTCATGACCTTGATACTGGATTTTGAAGGCTGTCTCTCAATCTGGGCTTATCTGATGATACATTTTCATGATGAAACTCAGGTCACACACCTTGGGCAGGAATATCACAGAAGTGACGCTGTGTTCTGCCCAGTGTGATTTCAGTTTGTCCCATCCCAACAACGTTCGCTTTGATCACTTGATTAAAGGGGTGTCTGCTAGGCTTCTCCACAGCCAACTTACTATTTTCCCTCCCTTAATAATTAATAAGCATGTTGTAAGTGGCTACTTTGAAACTATGTAAATTGTAAACTTACCATTCATTCATTTTAAAAGTTTGGTCAATGTAAACTTGTGGTTTCCTTTTGTATCCAGTGGATTATAACCTTTCACATTCTGATGCTCAGCTCATCCCTGATTTGGTCAGTGGAAGCCCTTCGAGCTGGCTTCTGTGTCCTTTTGACATGTCCTCATCATCCTTTGAAAGTCTGAAACAACAAAATGTTACAGTCTCACCTTTTTTTTTTTTTAAAGACAGTCTCACTCCATAGTCCAGGCTGGAGTGCAATGGTGCGACCTCGGCTCACTGCAACCTATGCCTCCCAGGCTCAAGTGATTCTCTTGCCTCTGCCTCCTAAGCAGTTGAGATTACCAGTGCTCACCACCACACCTGACTAAATGTTGTATTTTTAGTACAGACAGTGTTTCACCATATTGGCCAGACTGGTCTTGAACTCCTGGGCTCAAGTGATCTGCCTGCCTCAGCCTCCCACCACACCCGGTGTCACAAGCTCATCTTGTATTTTCATATCCCAGTCCTGGAATCAGATGTTTCTCCAGATATTCTAGGTTCCTTTTAGTGGAAAATGGTATTCAGAAGCCAAGATCTTAGTGATAAGTATGCTCATTGCTTTTGGAACATCTCTGCTCCCAGGCTGTCTCAGTGAACAGAATTAGGGAGTGTGTGTGTGTGTGTGTGTGTGTGTGTGTGTGTACATGTACATATATACCTAACTACACATGAGTTCACTCTGATAACATCCTATTCCAATCTAGCATCACAGGGTTGATCCTCTGTTCTTCCCTCCTCTCTAATTGTGAGAAACATGGCTTTCATCATCCTTCCGTTATTTACTCATTTGATTAACCGCCTGCACGTGAGTGATCTCCCTTCTACACAGCCACGCCTTCCCCTCTGTGGACATCCTGCTCACCCTGCTCAGGCTCTAACTCCCATGCACAGCTTCCCTGAATCTGCAGCTGTCTTCCTCGCCCTCCCTTGGACCACTATAGCTTCCCCCCACCTCTGTCACTGTGGTCCCCTAATGGCGTTAGGCCTGAATGAAGAAGGGGGATGGATGAAGAACACATTGGCATTTTTTCCCGTAACTACCCAGGTAATTCTAATGTGCAGTGAGGGTTGACAGCCACTAAGCTATATCACCTGACTTTGTGAGTTCACCACTTGGTCTGCAAAGGGCTTTGATAACTCAGTGGCTCTGTATGCTGGGCTGCAGGGGAAAGGGGCAAAGTGCGAAGGCAGGAGAGTTGGAGAAGCTACAGCAGCTGCCATTTATTTGTGTTTTGTTCATGTGGTGGTGGTTCTCCACCCTGGTTGCTCATGCTGGAGCTTTAACAAAGGCCAGTGTGGAACCATTGCCTGGAGATTCTGATTGCATGGGTCTGTTTTGTTGAGAATGCTCTTCAAGGCATTGTGAGGCCAGGGAAACAAAAAACCAAGGCTTTAGAGGCATGCATGCTGTTCTGAGGGAATGTGTTATCTTTCCAGGTCCACAAGGGGGCGTAGTTTTAAGAGCAAGAACTTCCCAGCGCCCCCCTCCCATCTCTCTCTCCATCCGGGAGATTTAACGTCTGTGTTTTAAATTTTGAAGGGCGTGAGAGGAATCAAAAGTCAATCGCTCCAGTGGAAGTTCCAAGGAACTCCTATCATTGGACAGAGGTCTTGGAGAAGGTAGGGGTTCCTCCCAGGTTAAAAGTCCCCTTCTTCCACACCCCTTCCGACTCCACGTTTGGATCCCCTACCCCCCCCCACACACACACACACATTCTCTCACACTCATTCTCTCTCTCTCTCTCAGAAGTTTTCTCTTCTCCCTTTTTTATCTATTTCTCTACATTTCTAAATAAAATCACTTCTCTGCAACACTGTTTGGGGTCTGGTATTTACTTTGCGAGTGTACCTGGTCCCCTCTCTCATTCTGGAGAGAGCAGGAGACCAAGAACCTTGGAGAAACGTCCTCTCGGGAGCTAAGAGCTCCCCTGAACCCCAACAGTTCAGTGAGCCCTGATCTGCATTGCAAAAGGGTAGAGATTTGTCTTTATTATTTATTTTGAGATGGAGTTTTGCTTTTGTTGCCCAGGCTGAGTGCAATGGCACTATCTCTGCTCACTGCAACCTCCGCCTCCAGAGTAGCTGAGACTACAGGCATACGCCACCATAGCTGGCTAATTTTTTTGTATTTTTAGTAGAGACAGGGTTTCTACATGTTGGTCAGGCTGGTCTCGAACTCCTGACCTCCGGTGATCCCCCCCCACCTTGGCCTCCCAAAGTGCTGAGATTACAGGCGTGAGCCACCATGCCCGGCCTACTTGTCATTATTGAAAGCATGGCTTACAAAATTTACCTGTTAAGACTCAGTAGATATTTGGGACTTTGTGGGCCATATAGCTGCTGCTGCAGTTATTTAACTGTTACAGTGTGAGAACAGCTGTAGACTATAGTAACATACAGGTGGCGTGGCTGTTCTTCTAAGAAAATATTACAAAAACAGGCAGGTTGCTAGATTCGACCTGAGGCTGTAGTTTGCAGAGCCTTGGCAAAGGTTTTCTTTTTTTTTTTGAGACAGAGTTTCGCTCTTGTTACCCAGGCTGCAGTGCGATGGCGCGATCTCGGCTCACCGCAACCTCCACCTCCTGGGTTCAGGCAATTCTCCTGCCTCAGCCTCCTGAGTAGCTGGGATTACAGGCACGCGCCACCATGCCCAGCTAATTTTTTGTATTTTTAGTAGAGACGGGGTTTCATCAAGTTGACCAGGACAGTCTCGATCTCTTGACCTCGTGATCCACCCGCCTCGGCCTCCCAAAGTGCTGGGATTACAGGCTTGAGCCACCGCACCCGGCCGGCAAAGTTTTCAAATTTGCATTTTAAACCCTCCAATTTCAAGTTATGCTATTGGTGGGGAATTTTAACTAAACAGAAAATGATCACCAGTATTGGCTCAAATATTTCCTGATTTTAAAAAATCTCTTGTTCCTACAAAGAATATATAAGATGTAATCTTGCCCTGGGTTAAACCAGTCTACAGAGGTAGATTTAGCATTTGCTTTTGTTTTCTTCTCTTCAATTCTTGTCTTGATCCCAAGTAAACGACTAGCCCAGAGATGTTTAAATCTATGTCAAATCCAAGTGTTAACAGACCCGAGGCCAGGGGTTTTACATAGTGGCTTGGCACAGTGTGCAAACCACTCTCCTTTTAGCCTGACTGGCCTTGGGGTCTGGAGCACCAAACTGGCCTTGAGGAAGTGTGCAAGGGACTGGAATGCAGGGAAAGTGATGAAATATTTTGTTAGCCTTGGCTTGTTTGCAAAATATA